ATACTGTGCACACATGGATGTAAAAGAAAAAAAACCTTTTGAAACTATTTCTTGAATGGGGGACGGAGGGGATAAAGGAGAATGGTGGAGGGTATGAATTCAAGAATGATATATTTGATATATTATAAGAACCTTTGTAAATGCTACAATTTAAAAAAATGACATTGTTTGACTCTGAGCAATAAATCAGCCTCCTGGAGAAAACAAAGGGGAGTGAAAGGTGGTGATTAGATGTGCAGTAATAAGTGAGAAAAACCATACCCTCCCACAGAGACCAGAAGAAAGCTTTCAGGCCCTTGAGAAAGATACTTCTGAGTTGTAGGAGATGTATATGTATATGAATATGTAAGTGTATGTGTATGTATATGTAAATGTGTATATACCTACTCAAAGGGACAGATAAAAAGAGTCAAAATTGTAAACCCTTAATAATATGTGTCCTGAGAAGGAAAGGTCAGGGACTTATTGTCAGGTGTGAACCAGGATAAAAAGTAAACTCTGCTGAAAGCCCTGGGCTTTCAAGACAGAAACTCAGAAGGCGACTGGGTTGTCCAAAGGGTATGGCCTTGGACTGCTGAAAGCCAGGCCGAACTTTTATGAGGGTTTGAATGGAGTATGCTTGGAGTATACCTCACCACGATCTCTGTGATTCCTGGTTAGAATTTGCCAATGAGTGTGCTCTCAAGAGACTTGGGAGACAAAGGAGAAAGAGACTTTTCTATTCGCTTGTAGGAAGATCAAAGAACAAAGGAACAATTTCAGCTTTGGAGGCACTCCTAAAACTTATAAGCAGTAGATACCAGAGGTCTTATGGGGAAAAATGGAGATGATGTCTAAAATATGCCATTATGTATGCTCCTGAAGTCTAAGTGACTCATGTGGCTTGGTAGAAAGAACTTCCTAGAACATTCAAGTCACTGGCCACAAGACCCAAGAGAGTGTATTGAAGAGACTTTAGATTTTCTCATTTCAAAGTAGATAGATGCTTCTGTGAGAATAAAAGGATATGGAGCATATGAAGTTGTTACAAAATAAATGACATCCACATTCTAAAATCCACTTGGTGATAATGTGAGTCCTATTCTCTTTCTGAGCCCCTAAAATGACATCCCATAAAGATTCCAAAGACTTCTCGGTAAGAATTTTCTGGATGCATTTTGCTCAGACTTAAGTTATTTGACACTTTCACAACTCTTAAACTTATTTAAACTGCACAGATCCTTCATTACAACTCTGAAGCTACACTTCTTTAAATTCAGTGAAATGTGCACTCTTGTTTTTAAAATAGCTCTTAAAAGTGGGTTCACATTCACTTTCTTCCTTACATTTCCGAGTCTTTTCAGTAAGATATGATCATGAGGAAATGGTGAATTTTGCTTCTGATAGGCAGTTGAGCTTGCAAGGAAATTAGTCACTAGCATGTTGTAAATAATCATTGTACTTCCCTGCTGGCCCAAGGAGGGTGTGATCTGTCAGCTCAGGGATATAATTACTTGCCTTGGAGTGTGAAGTATTATATTTATGTAGCCAGAAGGTTATTATTTGCCATAGATACTGCTATTAGAGACTAAAATTTCCTTTAGTGTCCTTGTTTTTATTACCTCTATGGTTGCTGGATTTCTCTACAAACCTCCCTTTAAAAAGACTTTAGCAACTTTCTCAGTTGCAATCCTCTGGTGTTATCCTGGAGCTCTGTGGATGGGATGATGAGCCATGGTTGATGAGAAATTGATCATAATTTTAGAATTAAATCCTGAATTTTTAGTGGTCCTTATCCCAGGATTGTTACCTTCCTAAGTATTTCTTAGCTTTTTAGAGGCTAGAAGGAACTAAAGTTGAGGAAGTGCCCTTCAGCTTCCTAGGTAAGATAAACCTCTTCTATATTTTAAATGATTACTGCTCCCCTTTCTCTGCCAATGGCACTAGGCAATATTTCTTATCTCTATACTCTGAGGACCTGGTGGGATTCCTGAAAGTAAAGCCCACGAATGTTTGGGAGACCCTAAGACTGAAGCTGCCAGGAGTCTCTCCCTGTTATTCTGGAACATACTTAGCCTTCCACAGTTTAAGTGATCCTACTATTTAGTACCTCTAGTGGCTTCTATACTGGATAAGCCTTCTTTTTGTATCTGTCTTTGTTCTGAGTCATTCTCTCCTATATTTGTGTTGCAGACACTACAGGTTCTAAAAAGGACAGGACTGATCAATGACATCTTATGATAAGAGTCAAAGCTATGACCCAACTACCAATGACTTTCTTATCATGACCAGTGCCTATTTGGCTAACCCTGAGGTGATGATAAGCTGTACCACACTTCTGATCACCAGAACACACCTGCCTGAAACTGTTTAATAATTATGCATAACACTTGCCCCTGCTCCAGTTCTTCCTCTATTTAACCCAAAGTTCATGTCTGCACCCTGAAGATGAGCTAAAGTGCACACTTTGCCTTTAAAGTGGCCCGCTCATGCTATGTAATAAATCTGCTTTCTCTGCCCTTCACCATACTTTATCTTTTTATCTGCTATATTGGAGCAAGTGGCCGGACCTGAATATTGGAATCCTTGCAATTGGGTCTCTGGCCTAGAAGTCCAGCTATAATAATATCAGATTTTTCTACTCATAGCCAAACAGCAAGCTTTGCCATGATGCAGTTTTTCAATATGAATCTTGCTGAGGTATATTTCGATAATTATATTCACATGGACATATGTGTCTATTGGAACATTATTAAAACCTGCATTCAAATCATCTCATTATTGCTTTGAATTCAATATATAGAAAATATTATTTCTGAAAATTTATCACATACATAAGTCCTATCTTATTTCTTTGTTTTAGGTATATGTAAATCTTCCTTTGAGTTCAGTGTATTGCTACCAGAATGAGCCTTAGGGCATTCAACCCAATTCTTTCAATCTATTTCTCTCTATTTGACGGTGAGCTTTTATTTGAACACCAAGAAAAAAATCTTATATAGCCCTCACTTTAGACACCTAAATCCAAAAGCAACAGAAGTGAAGTGATTAGGAACTATCCCACTGCAGTGACCAGTGGCAGGGTGACCATCAGATGACCTGATGTGCTTATAATTGTGGTTTATTTTCATATAACATTTTGGGTGGAGAATTTAGACCCCCTCATAGCACATATACTGACTCCAAGTCAAGAAAAAAAATATTTTGCCAGGTTTTGAAATCAGCACAAGTTGGAATTTCATCAGGGCTCAGATGACTCAGCTCTGTGATTTTGAAACATTTACTTAAGTATATTTCTAAGCCTCAGTTTCTTAATCAGGATAATCTGGCAAAATTGCTGTGAAATTAAATCAAACAATAAAGTCCCAACTCCTTAGACATGCCCTCTGTTCTTTTAATTAGTCCTAGGCTTGAACTTTTTCTACCAGGTTTATTGGTAAGGTGCTTTACATACACACTAAAAGATAATATATAGTATAATACATTATGTAATAATCATACAAACATAACTATATGCACTATATGTACTATAAAAATAGTACATATTTAAGAGAGGTTGAGGGATCTTCTAATTCAACTATTAGATGTGGAAGCAATCAAGTAGGGAAGTGGTTAGCATTGTGGAAGTACAGCCATATACATAAAAATACACAGTAGAAATACAGGCCACCCATTAGAATAGAATTTAGGAAAATTGGTGTCTTATCTTGTAAGTCTTCCAGTCTGACTTTTTCAATCCACTGGTGTTGACGTGTGTATCCAAATTTAACAATATAAGAAGGGATTCTTAAACTGCAGATTTTGTAGATTCCCCTGTTCTAAAGTGGGATGAATATACAGATAATTATAAAGGAAATCCACTGAGGTTTGGTGTTAGTTTCCAGTTCCCCTTCACCAAGAATTTCGTGATAAACATAAACCACTGTGGCTAAGAAATAGCTTATAGCCTTCGTGCTAGTCCAGCCTAGATAAACTTGTGATTCTATATGTTGCCCAAAGTTGCATAGGTAGAAATTTTATGATCTGCTTTAGTGCTCCTATTACTAGTAGCCTTTTAATTTTGATTTTTTGGAGTTGGTGATTGAACTCATTGCCCCTTGCCAATGTAATGCTGGCAAATGCTCTACCACTGAGCTACACCTCTGTCTATTAGCCCACTGAGCTACACCTCTGTTTATTAGCCTTTTAGTGGGTATCTTAAAAGTAATACTGTTACCTTGTATCCCTCAAAAACTGTGCATTGTTCTTGAATTCTTTTTACTGGGCATACTGTCTTATGAGAGGCTTGCCAATTGTGCCCATCTTTTGTTAGGGGGTATGACCACTCTTGTTTAGAGTACCAAGTTCCTATGGAATATAAAAAAAAATCACTTTCTCTTAGAAATATGAGTTGTAAAATTTAGCTCATTCATGTCCTGTTGAATGTTTTTCATACTTGAACTTCAGACAAAATGTATGCAACTGACAGAGGGAAGAAGTAAGAGAATTTTCTTGCCTCTGAGACCTTTTTTGTCCTACATTCTTTTGGAGAAACAAACAACAACACAATAAAATGTAAGGTGTTCAAAAGTAGATTATGCTAACGTTAGTATAGAAAGAGCAGAAATGAACATTTTTAGCTTACTAATTTCACTTATTAGGTATCATATCCTTTCCTCATGTGTTTTGTGTCTTATTCTTTCCTATAAAGTATGTAGGAAAAAGGACAAAGAAAAGAAAACCAAATATGAAATCTTGTTTTCATGTCATATAGTATGAAAGAGGAGATACTGGAAATTAGTGACTGCTGCAGAAGGTAAATAAAACTTACCATAAGGGAAAGATCCATGTGCTGTTAACTACATGCCTTGTTCCATAGCTCTGTTTCTTTTCCTTTTCACTTCTCTTTATCTATTTTAATGTCTAACATGGGAGGAGGAATGAGTTATCTGACAAATTTAGATTTTGCAAACATGTGCATCCATGAGAGTGCTATTGAAACACAGTGCTAAGGAAAGATTTTCAACATACAATTTTGTCATTTCCTTTCTTCATGCCCCAGATGCTGAAATACTACCAGATAAAGATTTGGAGTTTCAATTGTAAAGAGAGGGAAGTGGAAAAATCACTGCTGCCTTCTTTACAATCAACGGTAAAAAGGTTTATTTAATTGTTTTCTAAAGTTGTGTCTATTGTCTATGTATCTTCTCTGTGTGAGTGTGAGGGACTGTCTTTGGGTGTGAGACAGAAATATTATAGTATATATAATCAATGATTTCTAGTAGAATATTCTATCACTAATAATTTGGTTTTGTTGTTTTGAATGATAAGAGATTTTTGCTAAGGTTTCTGTAAGTGAAGAAATGATTGTGCGTGCATAAACACTCATGAAATACCTTACTTTGTGGTAAGAATTAGCAAGCAACTTTTGTCATGTAATTATGCATGTTTTGTTTAAAATATTGACTTTAATCAAAGTATCATTTAATAAATTTTAGTTATTTTCCATTCCTTTCTCTTCACATGACACTTTTGACTTTAACTTAATGACTTTATTTTCTTTACTTGCTCATACAGTGAATATTGACTGGCTATCTACTGTATAATTTTCATTGAACTAGATATGGGGAAGGGATAAAAGAATAAAATGCAGTTTCTGTGTTCAAGGAGTTCATGATCTAAAGCATATATACCCAAATAGCCATAATGTAATTTGAACACACTAAGTAGCATAAAAATTCTATAGATTACTGTGGGATTATGGGAGAGGCCAAAATTACTTCACATGGAAAAAAGGCTATCAAAATATCCTCATGGAGATTTTAGATGTTAGGTTCATCTTGAGGAATGGTAAGATGACACAGCATGGAATGGGGTTGGAATTGTCCTCAGCCATGTGAAAATGGTGCTTAAGAAAAATTTTTTTATAGTAGTTAAGAGCTAATATTATGGAAGCATCATGCCAGTGTGGTTTCAAATCTCAACACTGTCACTCTCAGCTGTGTAACATTGGCTAATTACCGAAATCTTTTAGGTCTTGGTTTCTTATGCCATAAAATGGAGAAAATACTAGTACATATCTCATGGAACTGTGATTAGGATAAAATATGGAAAGTCCATATGAAAATTTTAAATAATGGGAATTCTTTGTATCAGGCAACTTATAAAATTTATTTTAATCCTCATAATAACTCTTTAGCTTGATATTATGATCATATTTTATACAAATAAAGAAACTGTAATCCAAAGAAGTCAAAACATTTGACTAAGGTCACATAGCCAGGTAATGGCACAGCCATTTTTAGATTTCAGCATCAAAAAATGCCTCTCTTTCTTTCCTGCTAGCCAAGAATATTGCTGGCATCAAGCACAAATGGAAGTTTCCATTTCTTACCATGATCCTTTATATAGACCTATTCCTTAAGTAAAGAGTTGTTGGTTCCACAAATTTATTAATTAAAAAAAAATAAGTTCCAACTACTTGGGAGGCAGAGATTGGTCAGCAATCCCAGGTACTCAGGGGTCAGAAGTAGAAGGATGGTGATTTGATGTTAGCCCCAAGGAAAAAAATGTGAAACCCTACCTGAAAAATAATCAATGCAAAAAAGGGCTTGGTTGATGGCTATACATACATATATGTATATGTATATGTATATGTATATGTATATATATATATATATATATACACTATGTATATATATATATACACATATGTATACATATATATGTATTTAAATATTATAGTCAAGGTTTTTATTTTTTAATTATAATGTAGATTATAAGGTAACTATTTTGCACAAATCTTAATATGAAATTGACACCTTAAGATGAAATTGTGCATAGTAACAAACCTAAATAGGGAACACTCTTAGAAGAATGAATATGCATCAAATATGATGCATAAATAATAAATATATTATTATTATTTATGTGGAATAATAAATATATTCCACACAAAAAGTGCTTATTCTTTTACACAGAGATAAGACAACTTCTCTGGATATGTACAAGCAATGAATATGAATAGACAATAACCCAAGAAGCAAAATAAAAATAATTACACGGAAATACCCTTCTACACCAATAATTTAAAAAGAAAATAAAAGTCTCTGTAAAGTATCATTTAATGCTTATCAAAATCTGAATGGCTCTACAATAAACAGCATTATCCAAAGGTGGTAAATTTGATTTAAACTTTCTATACTCATATATGACTGTAGTATTTATAAATTTGTACTATCTTTTTAATAGTGCTCAGTCAGTAGATACTAAGATGTTCAAAGTATTTTTCTTCTTTGTTTGGTAGTTCAATACATGGTAAATTATCCTAAAGGAACATTTCAAAAGAATAAGACTAAATTATCAGGATATCTGTGACATCATTATTTATCTTAGTAAAATGTTACCCTCCAAAAAAAAAGAAGGAGAAAGTTAAAAAGAAAGAATTTCATTCTAGGAAGATGACTATATAAAGAAGACACATGTATTTTATGAATTATTACATAGCTCATTATTTTAAATTTGAAAAAAAGTCATTTGAGGTATAAAAATACTGAGATGATTTCATGGCAAATGCTTTTTACCAAATGCCTATGACTTCAACTTCATAACAAGGATACATATGTGCAAAAACCTCAAGTAACCTTTGAAAAATGAAGGTATTTTTCTTATATTACATTGATGGGGTGACAGAAATTGTATTTTACCTCATCTTTAATTGCTACAATATTCTATAACAAAAACAGAAGAAAATAAAGGGTATGGTTCCAAGCAGGTTAGCCTCAAAATTATTTCATAATGATTTTCCTGTTGTTGCTTCCTTAAACTTTTTACCCATGTCATAAAAGCTGATATTGCAGAGAAGTGTTTCACTTCTCATGAGAACACACTTTTAATAGATTATACAAGCTTTAAAGATTTCACAATCCTGTATCAGTACATTGACATTTGGTGGGAAAACTAGCATTGTTGAATTTATTTTTTAATCTTAACTTGGGAATTATATTTAAATTCATACTTAATAGCATGAATTGTCACTGCCTGCTAACAAGGACCCACATGTGTATGTGTTCTAACACTATTTAAAAAGTTATAACAATCAGAGTAGATCTGAAACAATCTGGTAATTCTAATAATAAGTGCCTTCAAGACAAAGTGGAAACATTAAGGGTGACATTCTTTTGTTTCAGTTTACTAGCTATATGTAATTCAGAGTAAAACATTTATTTTCCAATGTATAACAGAGGAATTAAAGAATTAATTTAAATTAACTAATTTAATTAATTAAAGAATTAACTTCCACATTAGTGAAATATGATCTTTTCTTGAAGTGTAAACCAAGATATGAAATCCAGTCATCTTGCAAAATGGTTTGGCTTTCATTTCTCTCTGTAATTTTCTTTTTAATTTTTTGTTTTGTTGTGCTGGGATTTTTGTTGTGCTGGGATTGAACCCAGTTCCTTGCACATGCTAAGCAAATGCTCTACCACTGAACTACATCCCCAGCCCCTGTCTGTATAATGTTTTAAATGATATTTTAGGTAAGTAATGAGCACTTTCTAAGTATCAGAAAATCTCTGGTGACTGAACTAAAGAAATAAACTCCATATCATGGATTTAATTTGGGTGAGAAAGACAGACAACAAACAAGACAAATAAGAAAGTTCCAACATGTTAAGTGATGGAACTTTTTTAAAAAAAAATTACTTTATTATTAGAATAGTTTTAAATTTATTATACAGAGTTCCTATAAGCCCCATACCTATTTTCTCCTATTATTAGTTAACAGCTAACAGTATTATAGCATGTTTATTTTAATTGATGAATTAATATGATTTATTGTTATATTATTATTGTTATATAAGTTCATAATCTATTCAGGGTTTGAACTCAGGGCCTCATGCTTACAAGGCAAGCACTCTTACCACTTGAGATATTCCACCAGCCCTTTTCAGATTTCTTTCACTCATACCTAATGATGGTACTTTTAAAGAGTAAAATCAAGTCAGGAAGGGAGAAAAGAGGCACTACATTATAAAGTATACATTTGTGGGTTTTGATCATGGTTTCTGGTTCATACATCTCTCCCCAAGGGAAGCCATAAAAACTCTGACCGATTCTTGATAATGGGTCATAAGATCCTCCTCATTCCAGGGAGGTCTTAATCCATACCTTAGTAGGAAGTTTGCTGAGAGAGTCCAAGAAGAATCTGTACAGACAGGGCTTGCTGGATTTTCTGTCCCGGTCTAAGAGCAACCATGCCTAATGCAATGTAGTCCTATAAAAACCTACCAGGACAAGGTTTGCAGAGCTTCTAGATAGCTGTTCAAAGGGAGGGTTTTGGAGGACAGGGCATCTGAAGAAGTCATGTCTCTCTTCATCTGGCTGCTCATTTGCATCCTATACAATATCCTTTGCAGTAAACTGATAAACGTAAGTGTTTCCGTGAGTTCTGTGAGCCACTCAAGCAAATTAATTAAACCTAAGGAGGTTTGATTAATTTGGGGAGTGAGGGGAGGCAGTCAGATTTTGCACTGAGTTTGAAAGCAAATCAACAGGATCCAGTGACAGATTGAAGGTGAAGGATGAGAGAAGGTGAGGGGAAAAAAAAACACCCCTAATTTGAGGCACATTAGAAATCTAAATAGACACATTTGGTGGTGGCATATATGGGTCTGGAGTCAAGAGGTCTGGGCAAGAAGTAAAGACATCAGAGTCATCAGCCTTGTATAGACTGTATTCAAAGCAATGCAGCCAGAGAGATCATCAAGGGAGTGAACACGAAGAAAAGAGAAAACAGGAACTAGGACCTGAAAACCTGCAGTATTAAGATGTGGGGAAGAGTCAGGCATGGTGGTGCAAACCTGTAATCTTAGCATCAGGGAGGCTGAGGCAAGAGGATCATGAGTTTGAGGTCAGCCTGGCTGCATAGTGAATTCCAGGTCAGATTGGGCTACCATCTTGTCTCAAAAGAAAAAAAAGGAAAAGAAAGTAGTGAGGAGATTAGGAGAAATTCTTAGGAAACAATGCCATCAATGTACTATCTCAGAGCAATCATCAGTACCTCTGCTTGCAACAGAAAACATGAATGTGATCAGATTTCTGTTATATCATTAAACCTTTTATTTTTATGTGAGTCACTACTTATCAATCTCTAAAGAGTCTGCTTCCTCTTCTACCATGCAAGTACAACAGCTTGAATTCCACATAGCAGATTATGGATGTACTTGCATGCCTTGAAATTCTCTTTTTCTCTCCTTAACCCTGACTGCTTCTTTTGCTTCTCTTGTAAGAAGAACCAGGACTGAGTGCAGTGGTACAAGCCTGAAGTACCAACACTTGGAAAGCAAGTTCCAGGCCAGCCTGGACTACATAGCAAGTTTGAGGCAAACCTGGGCTATTTCAAACCCTATAGCAAACAAAGAAGAGTCAAAATATTCTTCCATGTGTTTAGTGCTGGGTCATACTCATGCACAAAGTATGTTTGTTCTCAAGCTTGTGCTTCCCTGTGTTTTTCTTGAAAAGTGTTTTCTACTGTTTAATTTTTGGTCTTATTCTTTGTTTAAAAGCAGATTTTAATGTTTTGAATTTTCCCATTTCTTATGCTTTTGAATTTCCCCACAATTCCCCATCCTGTTAGTACAACTCAAGATGCCTGATGGGAGTAGCTAAAAATGAGCTAAAATCTAAAAATGAGGATAGAGTATAAGGAATGGGTCCTAGAAAGTTGAAGTTGGATGCAATCGGATGCAGTTGTGCAAGTGGAAGTAGTCTAGGATAAAGCCCTCGCTTCTGGTTTGAGTGGCTGTTGGGCCAGCTCCTTCCTCTCTCTTGCCATAACCAGGTCTATATCATGTATTCCCCACCACACAATATGTAGATGATAATAAGTGGTTAGGTTATATAATAAGCAGATGATATAAATGGAAGATTTTCCAACACTGGAAATCTTGGGAAAGAAAAGTTAGGCTGGTGTGAAAAATGCAACATTGATAGTTGTAACATTTTTAAAATCTGATTCTGAAATGATATCTAAGCTTTATATTTTGGCTGGGGTGGCATACCAGAATTAGCTCAAGTCATTGGAGCAGATTAGATTCCAGAAAGAGTATAAAGAAAGAAAAGTAACAACAAAAAATGTCAGCAAATTAAGCAAATGATTAATGGACAAATCTATTGTGCACTAGTCATATTAATCCAGATCACTACAGCCAAAGCAAAGCAGTGTTTTACTTATTTGTGTAGTGACTTCAATATTATATTTTAGATCAGTTGTGAAAGCCAGACTGATTTATATGATCAGAAAACTGAAAGAAGAGATTGATGTGCAGGATGCAGTTAACCTTAATCTTCTGTAGGCTTTCACTGGGCCTTGGACCCCCAGCTCCTGTTTCCATGATGACCATCAACTTGAAACTCCATGTTGTCCATGACTTTGTGCTTTCTTACAGAAATACTTTCTATCCTGCAATAATCTTCTCATCCCAAATTTCTGCTCCTTTCCCCAAACCCTGATAAATGTCATCTTTTCTGAGTTTCTACCATGATTACCCGTTTTCCACAAAGACTTAATCTTTCCCTTTTGTATTATGCCTATTCCTTCTATATATATATTGCAGTGTCAGGTTAATTATTTATAAAGATTTCAGTCTTCTCCATTAGTGCATAAGATCTTTGGGTGGTTGAGAATATACCATACACATCGATGTTGGCCTCCTGCTTACTTACACAGTACTTATCTAACGACTTGATAGATGACATAATGACTAAATATATGTGAGGAGTAAATATGTGAATAAGAATAACATTTAGGCTGCTTTTGACTCAGACCAAGATTATTTAAAATATAAAATTTTAAGTTTTGTTGCATAAGAAATATTTATATAGGCTTGATAAAGTTCTGTATATATGTATATACATATACATTTACATATACATATCTTTATACACATTTATGTATTTAAAGGTCTAAAACACAGGGGATGATTTGAGAGATAACCCCCTAAAATGTTTGAGGAATCTGTATTGTTGCTAAAGCCCATGTAGATTTTTTTTCATGAAAATGAATGTTTCTTAAAGGCATCTAGCAGTAGGAGAGCTAAAGTGAAATGTTGCTGGCAGAACAATATATTCCTGTCTTTTCATCCACATTTAGTACGCATGTAGAACAGTGGATCTGAAAGAGGATTGTGTTTTAGGAAATACGCGATGATGAGGTTTGGAGAGGAATTTTGGAAAAGAAGAAGTGATTGAATGATTTTAAGAGCTATCATTGACATCTGGGGTATGACAACCAGGTTGAAAAACATCCTACACAGCTAAGACAGTTCCAGATAAAAAAGAATGGTCCTAGTCCATACTTGGGTTACCAATGTTTCCTTGAAAATTTGAATGGGATATTGTCAAATCCAGTGACCAATTGAGATAAGCAAAACGTAAAGAACTGCAGAAAAGGTACAAACTAGAGGAAGTCTCTCTACATTACTGGGACTTCTGGCCATAATCCCTGTCTGTGGATCACCTGCAGTAAGGCCTGTCTTCAGGCTTACCTGTATTAAGAGAAAATGACCTAAAAACAGAAAATTAAAAAATGAATTTATTTAGTCTTGGCCAAAACTGGGGGAGTGGGGTGGGAGGAGGAGCCAGTCTGAGTCTGACTCTGCCTTCAGCATAACAGTGTTACAACTTATAGAAGAGATAGAACAAGAGTCAAGAAATGCATGTGCAGATTTAGCTCTGGGCCCCAGTTACCAGAGCTGAGAGAGAAGACATTCTCCTGGCCAGAGGGACCAGAGCTTCTGCAGGCTTTCAGCATGGTAATTCCTATAGAGGCCTGGAGCTGAAAAAGACAGCTTTTAGAAACAAATACTAACTCATAGCATCTTGTCACATCGATAGCAATCATTTGGGCCCAAGAAAGGTATGGAAAGAGTAAGAATGTAAAACAGCAAAAAAACATAAAATCTGAATCACAGACAAAACTTGTTTGCCAAGAATTTCTCTGCCAAAAGTAGCATAATCTTCATTCCTCCTGTTTTCATAACATCCATTTTATTTCAAAAATGAAAACAAAACCAATATATAATACCAATGTAAGAGAATCAAATCATTTATTTCACAAATATTTATAAAGTATATTCTAATTTCCAGGCTCTGATGATACAATGTTGAACAAATGCAGACATGGTCCCTGCCCTTCCATAGTTCACACACTCGACAGTTTTCAGATTCAGAAGGTTTTATTTTAGAGCTGGGGTCTTAGATCTAGTGGTGGAGTTCTTGCCTCAGTGCAAGACCTTGAATTTTAGATCCAGTGCTATTCCTTTCCCCAAAAGTTTTTATTTTAACTTTTTGCATAAAATGTACTACCTAGAAGATAGAGTAGGCTATCTAAAGTGACTCTCTTGCATTTGAGTGAAAATGGAGTCAGAATATCCCAATCATGAGATACTCAAATATATGGTGAGGGAGCCAGTAGGCAGTCTGAAGGGAACTGTTTCTAGTTACACACCAAGAGTGTGCGAACACAACCTTTGCAACTCCGTCCTTTGCAAACTGAGTGCAAAGTTAAAGAGCTGTACCACATAATCCCAATTGCTTGAGAACTATGTTTCATAATGAATTTAGCTAAGACTTATTGTTAACTCTATTTTAAAATTTTATTTGCATGCTCATTTGTTTGACTTGTTGAATACAATTGTCATTCAAATCCCATAATAAAATAAATTAAAAGAAAGGAAATGGAAGGAATAGTCTGGATCTGAATGATCCAATTTGGCTTCTTACGTAGTCAAAGTTCCCAGATAATTGTTTATTTTATTTCATTTTATTTACTGTTTGGTTTTTTGAGACAGGGTCTCCTTCTGCAACCGAGGTTGCTCTCAAAATCATGATCCTCCTGCCTTAGCCTTCTGAATGCTAGGATTACAGGTGTGTACCACACCTGGAAATATATTTATTTTTTTGACATGGGATACTCATGTTGAGCAGGCTGGTCTCAAACTCCTGGGCTCAAGTACACCTATGGACTCAGCCTCCCAGGTAGCTGGGACCATAGGCACATACCAATATGGCTGGCTTGTTTATTTCTCTATTTTTTTACTTTACATTTACCAGAGGAAAGAGAGGATTTAGGTCCTATACTTTCCCCTCTCCATTACCTTCTCACACAGTGCTCAAATCCTTTAAAGAACACAATCCTTGGACAGATCAACACAAGATTTATGGAAAGCAATTCTCAGAAATGATGTGCAGATTGTCATTACAAGTAGGCAAATAATCTACTTAGTGATATATATCACTCTCTCTCTCTCTCTATATATATATATGTATATAGATATATATTTGTATATATATCTATATCCAGAGAGAGAGAGAGAGAGAAGTGTTGAACAATTGTCCTTCATTTTCCACCCTGGATTTCAGTTTGGTGTCCCTGAGCTGACAGTGTCCTCATTTAAAACTGTGCTGTGCTAATCCACACTCAGTATTGGAGGAAATAACTATTTGTTCGAGGGGAATATTTTCTTTTCAGCTAACGTTATTTTCTGTCACTTGAATTATTTTTACTTAGAAATAAAAAAATTACCTCTCCTTACATTCAAAAAACCCACAGATACACATTTGTGCAGAGAAAGATGCACAATGCCTTCCTCATGAATCTATCCTTTTACATTAAAATTGTGAGTAAGTTTAATATATTGCTACATGTGTGCATTTAATTAATTATATGTTTCCTTGGTAAAATTGCATTTTAATTATATATATTTCAATTTGGAATTCTATGTAAAAAGGTCCTAGCTATTTTGTGTGGAATTAATATGCTTTTTCACATGCTTGACAGAATTATGGAGCAGTGTATTTTTCCTGACCAAGAGGAAGACACTCATAGCTATTCGGAATCTGTGAAATTTGATGCTCGCTCAATGACAGCATTGATTCCTCCCAGTAAGTAAAGGGGGACGGGGTGCCTACAGGTGGTTGGTTGGATGGCATAAAAGACTAGGATGTTTCTCTCACGGTCCTGAAGTTTAGAAGTCTGAAATCAAAGGGACAGTCTCCCTTCAAAGGTTGTAGTTGTAGGAAAGAAGCAATCATGTTTCTTCCTAGCTTCTGTTGGTTCTCAGAAATTCTTGAATTCTTGTTTTTTCTTAGCTTGTGGCTGCGTTACTGCCTCCTACTGCATAAGGTATTTTTTACTGTCTTTTCTCTTCTGAAGATCTCAGTCATTAGATTAAGAACCCACCCTTACTCTATATGACTTAATTTTTAAATTGATGACATCTACAAAGATCCCATTTCCAATTAATATTGCTTTTATGTATACCTGGATTTAGATCTTCAGCATATCTTTTTAAGAGATACAATACAGCCCACAACAGATGTTTGTACATGTCATGACAGACATAAAATGGGAGCAATATTCAGCTGTGTCTGGGAAGGCAGAATAGCTTATAATTCTGCTAATTCTAGAAGAACAATAAGCTATATTCGGAAGGAGCCAGAGAGACGTTTCAGTCAAAAGAAGCACACGCAAAGTTAGAAGATCACACATGAGTTCGTACAAAGGCAAACCTACAAGATTGTTGGCAATCCCAGGGTATGGTGGATATTAAGTGTTCTCCAATTGATGCAGGATGTAGCACCAGTGAAATACACATAACAAAGACACGAGGAAGAGCTGTTGTCCTCAGAGATGGGGAGTGATTGAGGACAGAAGACAGAATCATTGAGAGCAGAGAGAAAAAACCCAAAAATTATGAGAGCAATCTAAAAGGTAGAATACTCAGAGACCAGGTACAGTGATCCATGCCCAGCTACTCGACAGACAGAGACAGGATACTGTTTCAAAGCCAGCCTGGGCAAAAATTATTGAAGTCCCCATCTCAACAAATTAGCTGAGCTTGGTGGCACATGTCTATAACCCCAGCTAAGAGGAGGCATAGAGAGTAGGATCCCAGTCTCAGACTGGCGCTTGGGAGCAAGACTCCATTGAAAAAATAAAGAAAGAAAAAAGGGCTGGGGGTGTGGCTTACATACTAGAGCACTTGCATAGTAAACACAAGGCCCTGAGTTCAACTCCTTGAATTCACTAAAAATAAATAAGTAAATACATACACACAAAAATGCATAAATAAATAAATAAATGAATTAAATAATCAGAGGGGGAATTCACAGAACTCCCAATAATAAATAGGAGATGGGAGCCAGTATGTCATGCAGGCTTCAGATTTAGTAAATCTGAAAGATGAAATATTCTACCTTGCTTGTATTATGGGTCATCCTTTTTCCTTCAGGTTTTTCTTCCTTTTCCTTTTCTCTTATTTACTCTACTTGCAATTTTTTTTCTTCCTTTCCATTCATTCCCTCATAAAACATTATTGAACAGTATTTCCAACTTGCATCTAATTTAGAAGTTTACAAAGAAAAAGCAAAAATTATTCCTTTTTATTGAATAATAAGAGAAATGGCCATAGAAAAGAAAATCTGAATGGATGTTTTATTCACTTAATCAGAGAAAAGTCTGAGTTTGTCCTCGACATCAATGTATTTCTATCACAATTAACATCCTATTATGTGAATCATAGTTTTGGATAAATACAAAAAACTACAAGGTTATTGCTGTTAATGTGCTCAGGAATATTCAGAGGATGGGCTTCATTACTCCATTTTAAAGTTAAGTCATTTTTTTCACTGTAAAAATAATTTTTATGATGTATTCAAATCAAAAGAGATGAAATTACTAAGGTGGAACTGGTAAAGAAAATTTTTGGCATAATAGTCATTGGAAGTGAATATTCCTCTGATCTGGTTTAAAACTATGAAAAATTCACAATTACATATTCCTTGAAGAATTTTATTTCACTCAGAATACATTCTGAACTAAAATACATAAAAGGAAAATTTGTTTGCATATGTATCAATATTAAAATTTACCAAATAATCTCCTTAAATTAAAAGTTTGTAGAGTAACCTATACTGGCTTTTCCTGTGGCTATCACTTTGCTTTCCACTGGATAAATAAGGATCTACTTTTTCCCCTTTTTGTTAATGGGCTTGGTTATAATAATGTAACAGGAGATTACTGAAGTTTCACTTGCTAGGCAAGAACTGTACCGTTTGAGCCGCACTTCCAGCCTTTTTGTTTTTATTAGGTGATTTTTTTACATAGGGTCTCACTTTTTGCTCCGGGTTGACCTCAAATGGTTATCCTCCTACCTATGCCTCCTGTTTAGCTGGGATGACAGTCCTGTGCCACCATGTCCAGCTTTTTTTTTGTTAAGATGGGAGTCTCACTATCTTTTTGCCCAGGCTGGCCACAAACTGCTATCCTCCCAATCTCTACCTCTCAAGTAGCTGGGATTATAGGCATCAGCCACTATACATTGCACGAAAAATTAAATCAAGTAAGAAGAGCAACTTTTCTAACAATAATTTGTGATTCTTTTCTTTTCAGAACCTAAAAATGGCCCTACCCTTCAAGAGAAACTGAAGTCCTTCAGAGCTGCACTGATTGCACTTTATCTCCTCGTGTGTGCAGTTCTCATACCTATCATTGGAATAATGGCAGGTATAGTATTCCCTGAATATTGAAATGCAGCAGTTCACTGTAGGAAAGTAAAGGAGCAGCATTTGTTTTTAATATGGTAGATTCAAAAGAAATTTCACATACAAAGTATTCCTCAAATTATTAAATTAAAAATAGATTCTCCAATGTTAAGTAGAAAGGAATAGATTTTTTAATTAGAAAAATAAAGTAGAAGAATAAGAGAAGAGAAAGTAAGATAGGGAGATTTTCACTGTTTAAAAGATATATTATTCCCTAAATTCATATATACTTTCAGTGACAGGCTATGAATTTCGTAAATATTCTAGCTGCCAATGTGAAGACAAACATGATAGAGCACCTTAACAATGCCTACACTACAAAAGCAAGATTGTTGTTAAGAACATCTCCTATGCCTATTCCCATTGTGAAATAATGACCTACTCCTCATTGATATTATCACAGTCTATCCGGTCACATGTTTCATGAAGTATTACTTAAGCCATCTCTAACATGATAGAATATGTTACTTGGGGTGCATGTGGTGTTTTCCAGGCATACATTTCTGTGGACAGTCTGACTTGAACTGGGTATAAGTTAGGATTTTCATGAAGGGGATGGCTTACATATACCACAAATATATAAATGTTATTCTCCTATGTGGCATTTTTTATAGATTTGATGAATTTTAATTGACATTTGAATTTATGTGTCTTCTGATAAGATGTCTGAGCACATGTTCTATCAAAAGACAGGTCTGGAATCAGATACATTTTTATGTGCATAATAATCTACTTAACAAGAAAATCCCAAATACAAGGCCAACCTTCTTAAGAGACCATCTAAGGGAATATTCTAAAACAGATCCAAAATTCCACTCAGAAAGAAAGAAAGGATTATGCAAACAACAGTTGCAACCATACTCATCATTTTTAAGCACTTACTATGCTCGAGCACTGGTCTATAAACTTTCAACATATTATTATCATTTTTTGATGGTTCTGAGTTTGAACTCAGGGCCTCAACCTTTCTAGACAGGTACTCTACCACTTGAGCCACTCCACCAGCCATTTTTTTGTGTTGGATATTTTCAAAATAGGGTCTTGCAAACTATTTGCCTGGGTTGGCCTCAAACATTGATCCTCCTGATCTCTGCCTCCTGAGTAGCTAGCATTACAAGAGTGAGCCACTGATGCCTGGTTCAACTTATTTTCTTAATGTCTCTACAATTAACCTCTGAACAGGCACTGTTCATTCTCTATGAAAAAAAACAGAGTCTCCTCAGTAATGGAACTGGAGTTCCCATCTATGATTTCTGTATTTTAGCCTCTATAGTCTACTGTCTCCCAGTACAATTGAGTTTTTATAATAAAATATTGTTGATAAGTTAAAAAAAAGTAAGCGGGTTTTCTTATCTTTGCCCAATAAAATATTTTCTACCGGAAAAAATTAACTCCTATGTTAGCTATTGAAATCAAATGAAAACAAAAATATCACCAGAACAACCAAAGCAACAAAGTACAGCTATCTAGATAAAAGGACCTGATGTGTCTGTCTGTTGTTAGCGTCAACTTTCTGATTAGCCAAAGTTATCTGTATGTTATTTGTGTATATGTGCCTATCTATAATCTGAAGTGCATAACTGAACAATGCATCATTTGTTGGGATTATTAACTATATACCAGGTAGGATTCAGCCAACCTGTGTAGGGACTGCAGCTTCTGAGAGGTGCATGCAGAATGCAGAAGTCTGAAAGGAATTCAGGGTTCTAATCAATTCCCAATTCTTATAGTAAAATATACTACAAGTCAACACCTTTGTTTTAGAGTTGATAATGATGTATCTGAAATAGTTTCCTTAAACTACAATAGGTACCCACTAAGATTAACAAGAAGTTAAAAGTGTTCCAAACTTGTAAATTCACATCAGTACTAAATTCACCAGCATTTGTAGTAGAACTCACTGTGTCTACAGTACATCCATAATAAACAATTGCTAATCAATTTATAGCTTTAATTAAGTTGTAGATCAGAACAGTTTTTTTTAAAAGAAACTAAAATGTAATACATATCCCCACTTGATGTTTAAAAATTACAAATGTAGACAAAATGTACCCCTAGAATGATAGAAGTCATAATTCCTATGTTTCGGAACATATGAATTAATGGGTGAAATGAAACATTCTACATAAAACTCTATTCAAATATAGAGTACCTCATATATTGAAAGATGTTTTCTTAATTCTATGGTGTATTCTATATGTCACCTTTTCATAAAGAAGCTGCTGAATCCTTGACAGAACACAGAGACATAATGTCCCATAATAGTAAGACACAATCTAAAACTGATGCATATAAATTGCTACTGAAATACTAAAATTTCTTGATTCAAAACAATATAAGTTTTGAATAGAAAAAGATATTACCAACATGAGAGAATAAACATGATCTGTAGAAGCAAATATAACCTCTCCCTAGGTCTTTGAACATGCCATAAATGTTTGTCCTCTTTCAAATGTGAAATAGAGAAGTCACATAATGCCATCTCTCCAATAAAAGTGAAAGAAATGACTTTTAAAAATAGGAACTGTGGCATTTTTTACCTGGCTGTATGGTAAAGAGTTAAACTTTATTTTTTCTTGCTGGGAATTGAGGCCCAGGGCTTCATGCTTGCATGTTAAGCAAGTGCTCTACATTTGAGTTACATCCCCAACAGGAGTTGGATCTTGTTTGTTTATTTGTTATTTGGTCAGTTCATTTTTGAGACAGGATCCCAGTATGTCATTTAGGCTGGCACTGAATATTTTTCTTGCCTCAGCCTCCCGAGTGGTTAGGTTGTAGTCATGTGTCACCACACCCGACTCGTTTCAAAGAAAGTAGAATTTAAGTTAGTTTCATTCAGGGTGTTTTTAAATATGAAAGCAAAATGTAGCATTTATTGTCAACTCATGTTTATCTTGTGAAGTTAAAAACCACTGTTTACATGAGCTTTTGTCAAATCAGGTATTCTCTTTCCTCACTGTGAAAAAGATTTGCTTTATCCCTATGAAATACAACTTGTTTTCAGTGAAAATAAAATTACATGGTTGAGCAATTAGAGCAATATGCCTAGTAAAATAAAGCAGAAGGGACTACTGCATTCACCATAACCCTCAATTCAGAAAAATTGACATTGCACAATTATGATTCCCATAGTCAGTCAGTCTTAGACATGTAGATGCTTAGGTCACAGATGTTAGGACGAAAGTAATACTCACAAAACCCCTGAGCCTTGCTGCAGGTGTAGCTTAGTGGTCGAATGGTTGCCTAGCATGTGAAAGGCTTAGAGTTCAATTCCTAGTACTGAAAAAAAAAATCAAAATAGAATAAAACAAAACAAAGAACTAAATCTTATCAAATGCTCTCTATGTGCTAGGAAGAGGTCTAAACATGACATCTGTGCCATTTGATTACCCAAATACTGACTAGCTATATATTTACAAATGGTGAAATTTTGAATTTTTAAAAATTGTTCCTTTCAGTTTCTTATTGTTAGGGTCAAAATTCTTTACCAAGTTTTTTTTAATTGCTAGAGTTATTCAAATTATTCCTCATATACCATAGATGCTTCATAAATAAATTTTATAATTGGCTAATGCAGGAATGAGGCTGTCAATCCAAAACTTGCTCCCCATCCTGAATTTAATTAATGTGATGAAGAAATAGGCTTTTATGTCCAATTTGCTGATCACATCAAAATGTTGTCAACTAATGTTTATTAGTTCAGGTAAGCTAATATTAAGGAAATTAACCAGGGAAAATATAACACATTTTTATAAATTATAATTTATTATAACATTTCTTTCTTTTGTGGTGCTACAGTTTAAATTCAGAGTTTTGCTTGCTTGTCAGGCACTCTACTGCTTGAGCCATGCCTCCAGTCCTTTTTGCTCTGGTTATTTTGGACATGTGGTTCTTGCTTTTTGGTCAGGAAGGCCAGGACTGCAATCCTTCTATTTTGTACTCCCCACCATTGCAGAGATGACAAACATGAGACACCACATACAACTATTGGTTAAGATGGGGTCTGGTGAAATTTTTGCCAGGCTGTCCTACAATCATAATCCTCCTAATTTCAGGTAGGATTAAAGGCGTGAGCAACCAGCACCTGGCTTATGACACTTATTCCTAATATGATACTAGCTAATCAACAGTCAGCATCAAACAACTTCTTTAATTAAAAGTAGTAACTACTACAATGGACTCTTTAACTACTATGATCTCTTTCATAAGTAAGCCATTTTGTTGTTGAGTAGAGTTTTCACATATGCCTATTTATCTGTAATGGGATTTATATGGCTTATTTTGCTCAGGTTCAACCACTGTTGAGGTTCATATTATTTTTATATCTTTGAGGAAATCTAAGCAAGCACAGGTTAAGTAACTTGCCCAGAGTGCTGCCATCTGACAAATGAGGGTAGCACTGGATTCTAGCATCAAGCACCTTGGTCCTGAGTAAACACCCAACTCACTTATCTATCAGTTACCTGAGTTAGGATACAACTTAATGATTTGTTGTGTCATATTATTTAGTCCTCAAATATCAATAAAACTGGTAGTGCTGCCATATCATTTTTATAATGAAAACCAATAGATCTCAGGTACAGCTGTATATATAGTATTTTTAAGCCACATGAAGTTACTCCTTATTGTTCAATAATTGTTGTATGTGTAAATCTTACGCATTCAAATGAATAATAATGTGAATAATACAAGTAGATAATAAGAGATATGGGAAAATAAAGTCTAACCATTGCAAATTTAGTGAGATAATGGTGTTTAACAATTGCATTACTGTGCATAATTATAATTGTGTAGTTTTCATCTTCAAAGTTAATATTGAGTCTTTCCTTTCTGTTCTGGTTTTTGAATTATACAGCATATTGGAAGAAAAATTAGCTTGTTCAGAGAACACACGCCCATTTGGAAATACATATCTGCAGCTCAGGACATTCCAAGTGCCATTTAAAAGAATGTTTTTCTTCAGAAAATAATTCATCACAAGATTGTTCATCAAAATACTGAAAAAAGAAGCAAACTAAATGTAGGGGATTTGTAAAATAAATCTGGTAGGATCCATAAATAGAGTACCATGCGTTATTAAATTATTTTGTAGATACTATTATTAAATATCAAATAATATTTTTAAGTGTTTCTGATATACCATTAAATTAAAAAGTAGTTTCTAGATTGCATATAAAATGTAATGTTTTGGGACAAGTATGGTAGCAAATGCCTGCAGTGTCAGCTACCCAGAAGACAGAGATTGGGAGGATTGTGATTGGAGCCAGACTGGGCAAAAAGTTAGCAAGATCCCATTTCAACAAAGAAGCCAGGTGTGTAGGACGTGCCTGTAATCCCAGCTACTTGGGAAGCAGAGATAAGGGGATCCTGGTCCAAGACCGACCTAGGAAAAAAGTGCAAGACCCTATCTGAAAAATAATCAAAAACAAGACAAAAGGACTGGGGCCATGGCTCAAGTAGAACAACTACTTAGCAATCATGAGGCCCTGCGTTCATACCCCAATACTGCAGTATATGTATATAACCTTTCAGCCTCACTTGATGACACGTTCCTATAACCACAGCAGACTCAAGTAGGACAATTAAGAGTTTGAGACCAGCCTGGGCTTATAGAAAGATGCTCTCTCAAAAAAAAAATCCCCAAATAAAGCTTTTATTCTTTATAATAGACATGTTCATATAATATGCATATATAATAATGAAAATTGAATCAAATTCAATACATACACCAAATTGTTAGAGTTTTAATCCAGGACAGCAAGATTCATGCTGAATTTTTTTCCTTATTATCTATATTCTCTAATTTCCTGCGATGAATAAATATTTTATTCATATATAAAGAAGATTATTATGGAAATGATATATTTTTTAAAGGGAAAATTTTATTTGCCCAATTTACTGCTCCACCAACTATGGGTTAGGCCTCTGTAACTAAAATGACAGTTCTCTGCCAGCTTCTGTGATGAGTAAGGAAGAGGAACTAACAATCTGTGCATTCAGTGGATGGCAATGCCTTTTCTGCTTTCACTACATGGTGTCTTATTCATCATCCTCATCGCTATAATAGCAATGTGCTTCACACACTTACTTCAGAAAAGGTGCAGAACTATCTGAACAGATTGCATTCCAGTGTGAAGAATTTTCTCTAACTTGCAAAGCTCAGTACTATGGCCAAGAAGATTCATATAAGTAGCAATTCAGAAAGAATGTCATAATCCAGAATAAATTCTAATGTAAAGTAGGAAAGTAAGAGACTGTGAGTTTTTTGGCAATATACTAAGTGTGATCCACACGGTACATATTTAAATAAATAAATGCTTGGTTTAGGGTAGCTTTCAACATGTTGCAATGGAAGAGCCTGAAACACGTGGAATGCAATGATGTATGCATTTGAAGATAACTTGTTTTATTTTTACTTAAACATGCAGCTCAGCTCCTGAAGTGGGAAATGAAAGATTGCAGAGGTGGTTTGATTAATGCAAGTGATACACCTCAAAGTCTAATGGGAAGAGGAAATGACAGTGAAGATGAAGTGAGATTTCGAGAAGTTGTTACGGAACACATGAACAACATGGAAAAGAGACTACAGTATATCTCAGATACAGAAGCCAATCTTATAGATTCAGAACACTTCCAGAATTTCAGTGTGACAATTGATCAAAGACTTAATGATTTTCTTCTCCAGCTAAGTACCTTGGTTTCCTCAGTCCAGGAGCATGGGAATGCCATAGATGAAATCTCCAAGTCCTTAATGAGTCTGAATACCACCTTGCTTGATGTTCAGCTTTATATTGAAACACTGAGTAGCAAACTCCAAGAGTCTACACATAAACAGCAAGAGGTAAGAGTCTCTGTATTGGAAGATTACATTCTGGAACTAAATCTATCCAGATCCTGACTTCTCAAGCAGTCCAGAAAAGTAAAAGTTGAAAACCCTGTTTATATATTACCTCATTATCCCTGACTCCTCTGGCAATCTTGCTAAACAGTTTCAAGTGCATTTACCTACTGCCTTCTTCAGACTCCCACAAAAAGGGGCAGTTATTATCCATTGAATATAGACACTTGAACTATTTTAATTTTATAACCTCTGTCTAAAATAGTTGTAGTTTTTAGGTTATTTTAACAGACCTGAAAAAGTAGGTACCTTTTGTTTGTGAATTTTTCAGTATTTCCTTATCATCAAAAGAACAGAAACCTTATTTACATGGATATCTTATAATTTATTTTTCCACTCCCAAGTGGTATACCTAAGTGTGTATGTGTACCTGTAGCTATAATTTAAATAATGTATACATATTATTATCATGAACTCTTAATATGACAATAGCATATGCTTATAATTATCATAATATCAATCAAATATGCATTAAGTTTTCTACTACCATACAAGCTATGATATTCACTGATCATTAAAAAGCATAATGAGAACAGCACTATCACAATAAGGCTGTAGAATGATCTTTTATGACTGCCAAATAAGCAAGACAACTTTAGACCAGTTTTCTGCAACATTTCTCTGTGAAGGGCCAAATGGAAACATTCTAGGCTGTGGAATAATATGGTCTGTCACATCTGCTAGGTGCTGCCATTGAAACATGGAAACCATCATAGATAATAGGAACGGAAATGAACTAAAACTGTGGTGCAATAAATATTTATTTACAAAAACAGTCTGTGGGCTGAATTTGGCTTAAGGACTATAATTTTCTGACTTCTTCTCTAGACTATTGTGTTGCAAACCCTGGTTAATATCTGGATTAATTTATACTCATGAGAAAGAAAGTAAGAAAGAAATCACTTATTTTTAAATTATATTTTTGTTAACTAATTCTATTTGTTTCTTTTCATGCAAAATAAGAACTTGACTGAAACTTCACTTCATGAAAAGAATAATGTTAATGTTACACAATTTCTAAAACATAAGATTATAATGTGAGGACTATATTTCCATCATTAGTTAAGCAATATCAGCAGCATTGGAATAGATTCTACTTGAACAGACTCATTTATAATGAAGTTCTTTTCTGTACAAAGATATTATTATAACAGTAGTGATTTTGAAAAACAGATTTCAGTTATAGAACAAAGATAAGCCTCTGAAGTTATCACACAAGATAAAAACCAGCAAAATTATTGTCTGAGAGTATATTAAACAAGTTAAAGAGAATATTTATAATACATAAGGATCAATCACTCAAAACTTTTGAACTTTCATATGGCCCCCATCTTAGGGTATCACCTTAAGATGATCACCCCATCTTAAGGTAAGGAAGTAGCATTCTAATTTAAACATGGGGATTCTGTTGGAGAACCCCATCTCATACCAGCCTTGATATTCTGTTTCTCTTCCATGTCCCTTCTTCCAAAATTTGACTTTCTATGTGTCCCACATTATTAATAAGTATTTAATCATACCAAATATGACTGAGCTATCAAGGGCTTAGACTGAGCAGTGGGAGTGGTAAGAGAAGACGTACAAAGAAGAAATTATCCATAGGGCTAAGAAAGTTGCATGGGAGACAGAGGAAGATAAAGTGTCAGTTACAGGAGGAATAGACTTTGACTAAGTTGGAGGGAAAGAAGAGAAGAAAAAAGAAATCTTAGTTTATGTAGAAACAGGGTCAGAAGATCACTTTGGGTGAGGAGAGAGAAAAGCTACACAAGATGGAAGAGCAAAAAATGTTGGATTGATGATGGAATATCTTTGAGACCTTCTAAGCAACATATTGTAACCAAATTGGAAATCTTTGGAAGACAGTAGACATTGAGAACATGTTGGAAGTGATAATTATTAGAAATAATGAAAATCTGATGATCAGTGAGCTGTTTTAAGTTTGGATAGATTGTACTTGTGCTTTGGAGGAAATTCTAGCATTTTAAAATGGAGCACAAAGGAATAGTGAAACTTTTGAAGCTGTAAGATTGTTAGACAGTAGTCACTTGTAACAATTTAGAAACTGTCAGTACCACTGTGTATATGTGTGTATCCACATATGTGTGCACTGACAAACATGATTGAGACTTTCACCCTTGTTGCTTGAACAATTTTATTGATCTTGGAATTTATTTTCTCTGTGTTACTGGAGATTGAACCCAGGGCCTCACATATGCTAGGCAAAAGCTTTACCACTGAGTAAACTGACATTCCTGATCTTTGAATGTTCAGCTCAATTAGAAAATAAGTAAATGACAAGAATGGCCATGTCAGCAAATGCTGTTTGAAAGAACAGCCTATGAGTAATACCAGCACACTACTTATCAAGGATAGATCAAACATTGGTTTGAAATAAAAAGGAAGACAAGGGTGAAATTTACCATCTCCAGTTTTCATAGAAAATTAAGTGTCTCCAGCAGGGCCACTGTTGATGAAGTATGGAAGGTGTGTATAGATACTACATAGGATTTTATTTTAAACTCAAATGCATTTCCCTCCTTCTAATAAAAATAATTCTTAGCAAAAGTTGGCAAATGTGAACAATCTGTGCAGTTTTAAAAAGGGAACAGAAAGGTAGCCTCAGCTTTTTATATGAAATAAATGGGTTGATTCCAGGCTTCTAGGTAACAAAATGACTTGCTACTCCCCTGAGCTAAACTCTGTGGATATGTGGAACTATCTGAGTTTATTTTATTGTATTGTTCTATCCTAAAACATCTCACCATTCCACTTTATTGCATATATCAGATTGCATGGCAAATGCCAAGTGGTCAGGGAAGGAGGAGGTGGAAGGTAGAGAGGTTCAAATCTAGAACAAAAGTCTGCACGGGGGAAGGCACAGTTAGAGAAGTAAAAACTGATATGCTCCTTTGTTTCAGAAGGAATAAATTTGAATAATTGTTCATTCTGTAAAGATTTTACACACTTTTTTGAAACTTTCATCTTGAATTCTCCAGTCCAGCCAAAGAAAGAAAATTTTCTCTTAATATCTGGGTTAAAGAGTTGTACAGTACTGACTTATTTCTACGTGCAAATGGGAAGTGATAATCTCTCAGCAGGTCAATAGAGAAATGCTTATAAAAATATAAAGGATACCATGAAGACATAGGAGGGCATAAAAAAGAACAGAAAGAAAGAAAACATTACCAGAATAGATACACATATTTGCTGCATCGAAAAGAAAAAAAGATTTCTCAAAGAGAAATTAAGAAAATGATCTAAAAAAAGTGATAAAGAAAATATTAATGGTCAGAAACTTGGTGTATTTGTATACTTTGACTTCATTATAATTTGGAAAACAAATTAAGTAGCAATAATTTATAATATGTCTACATTTATTCTACAAACAAAAATATATGATGGCACCTATATTGGGGGGCAAAAGGTAGGTACTGATACACAATGAGAGAACATACATTTGGAGGCTAAAATGACAATATTGGGGAAATAATGGAATGTGAGATCCCTTTGGCAAAATCCATTTCCAGGAATTTGTCCAATAGAAGTAAGCACTTGAATGAATATGTAAATCTATATAAATGGTGTTCACTGCAGCACTGTTTAAAAGCTTCAGTCTTTATCAATAAATATCTTAAATTTTGAAAAATTCAGGCAATGTAATTCCACTAAGTTATTGAAAATAAGCTAGTCTTTAAGTATTTAACAGGTAAATATCCTTAGTATATTTTTGAGTAAAAACTTACGCAACATTGAATTATTTTCTGCTTTGTTCACACACTCTCATGTGTTTGCAGGTGTGTACTCTCACCAGATATATTCATGCATTTGAATATGCATGCATTTGATAATATAAAACAATATAGAAGCCTCAAGTACAAAGGCAATAAAAATTCAAAGTAAATGTTCTTAATATGCTACTTTAAAGTTCTATTGAATATTAAAATCCTTAATTTTCATTATTATGGAGAATTGCAACATTAATCTTTGATTATTGCTGTACATCAATTTCATATTAAATTTATCAAATTCATAGAATTAAAATTCAATACCACTAAACATACTCTGAAGAAATTTCACCTCAGATAAATTACAATCCTGAAAGTTTTAAATTTAATTTTAATATTTTAACATCTGTATATTTGGGAATATATATATTAGCATACTTTAGATACATATTCAATGGATTTTCTTTTGTTTTGTCTGGGTATGTGTCAAAATTAAGCCATTTACTCAAAGAAAGAAATACTTCACAACCAAAGAATTATAATTTTAAGACAGTTTTCTAAATTCCATATTCATATTCTGTAATATTCCAGTACTGTTTTATGTTCTTTAAAAGCATGAACTTTCAAGACTTCATGAATTTGCACGTTTCATAATTATGTGCATAACAAAAGTTGTGGGTGCTGACTGTTTCACAGGAAATCAGTAAATTACAGGAGCATGTGCACAATGCGTCAGCAGAAATTCAGTCTATGAAAGAAGAACAAGCACACGTGGAGCAGGAAATAAAAAGAGAAGTGAAAGTATTGAATAACATCACCAATGACCTCAGACTGAAAGATTGGGAACATTCGCAGACATTGAGAAATATCACTTTAATTCAAGGTAAAATGTATCCTTCCTCTAGAAATTGGCATGTTAAAATGCACTTACACTAATATATACATATATCTGGTATTTGAAATTCTGTGGTTTAAAATAAATAGTTTTTGAGTGCTTCTTTACTAAAAAAATAGAAGAAAGACTCTTAAGACTAGATCAAGACTTGGTATGATAGCCAGTAGCCTCATGTCCTTTAAAGAGGGATAAACAATGTCTTTCAGCATCTGAATCTTTCATTGTTAGGAATATCCCATAGGTACTGAAGACCAATATAAATTTTCTTTAAATACAAAGCTCTCTGCATGACTATAAATTCAGCTTGTTAATTCCAGATCCTTTCTTGCTGCTTACCTAACTATATTGTTAATTAGAAGTTTTGAATTCTCCAAAATAATGAATTTGTCAATCGACAGTTCTTCACTTCCAGTTAATAAAACAAGAAGAATCTTACTAATGTTTAAATAAATATAAATTATATTTTATACCAGCTTCTAGCTATTTTTACATTTTGTATTTTTCCATATTTTACTTTGAATCTTCTGATACCCTTTGTTTTAGGTTTGTCTTTTGCAAAGAATGCTTACTTTTTAGCTTTTTATTTAATACAAGTTGACACTCTCTTTTCACTGCATCTATTTCTATCATCTTATTTTTGTACTGTTTTTCTTTTTCCAGTTCATGTTTCTTTTGCTTTCCTTTTTTGTCTGATTTTGGATTGCTTAAGATTTTTCTTTTAGTGAATTTTTCTCCACATCAAAGCTTCTAAAAAGTGTTTGGTGGGCTGATGGCATTGCTCAGGTTGTAGGGCACCTGCCTAGCAAGCATGAGGCCCTGAGTTCAAACCCCAGTGCCACCAAAAAAAAGAAAAAGAAAAAGAAGAAAGAAAAGGCACAGTGTATTCTTATTCTCTTGACTGCTGCTTTTGAAATTTATTCTAACATAGTCCAAGACTGACCAGCATTTTAATACACAGCCTTGAAATATACAAGGAACTGTAGTTCCTACACTTTGTGAATACAGTTCATTTTTATTTTATAGATTTTTTCAACCAAGAATTTAGTCAATATTATTATTCTAACTTTATCAAAACAATATTTACGCAGATTTGCTCATGAGATAACCAATGGTTGTGCCTAAATTCATCTCAGCCATTTATTCTGAAACCATTTTCCTTCTCCTTAAAGTACATCTTTTCAAAGTTTTTTTTAATGAAGTCTTTTGACTTTGTTTTCACCTTTTAGTTCTTTATCTTTTAAGTTGTCTTACTACATATACATTTGTTAAACCAAAAGGTTTTTTCCTTGTGCTTATTTCTGTGAGTACAGTTATCCTTTGGTATATGTAGGGAGTGATTATGGGATACCTATATCCATGGATACCAAAATCCATAGATTCCCAAGTCTCTTATACAAAGTTAAATATTATTTGCATGCAATTTTTTTACACATTGCCATGTATAGTTTGAAACACTTCTGGGTAACTTATGATACCTAATGCAATGTAAATGCTGTATAATAGTTGTTATACTGTATTGCTTAGAGGAGTAATGACAAGGAAGTCTGCGCATGTTCAGTACAGATGCAATCCCTTCCCCTCTTTTATGCTAGATAAAGCCAGGGCACTGGCATGCTAGGCAAGTGTTCCATCACTGAAGTACTGCCCAGCCACGCTGCCCTGTTACTCCTTTTTATCAAGGGAGGTTAGTTGACTTCACAAATAAAGAAGCGGGAATATGGAAAGCCAACTATAAAATTTGGAGAAATTATTCCCCTGGCTTCTTCTTTTCTTTGTTGCTTTAAAAATGACTGCTACCAATCTACCTGTAGTTCTCTTTAATATCTGCAATATAACTTCTCCATATTTTGTTTGAGAATTTATCCATTTGACATTTGTTGTACTTCCTAGATTCATGAATTTAAAATTATCATCAATTTGGGAATATTTTCAGACTCACTGTTTTTGTTTGGTTGGTTTTGGCTTTTTGTTTTTTTTTTGTCATTATTTTTTTGGTACTGGGTATTGAACCCTTATGCACTGAATCACAGAGCTATACACCCAGCCCCTAGGTTCAGACTCTGAATAACACTTCATCAGGATTCTCTCTATCCTTTACTCTGTAAATAAAATTGAATTCATGGTGGATCTTCTCATTCTAATTTCCATATCCTTTAAGCTGTGTTTCATGATTTTTAATCCTTTTTATTAGAAATTAGAAGAATAGACATTAGGAACACCATGAGATTTCATTTTACATAGACTCGTAGGAAAATCAACAAGTTTGATAATCCAAGTGTTGACCAGAAAAGATTGTAAGAAATCCCTAAGGGCTACATAGTATAATTTGATTTTATTTGGTTTTGTTTTTGTTTTGTGCTGGAGATTGAACCCAGGACCTCATGCATGCTAAGTAAGTGTTCTGCTGACCTACATCTCCAGCCTCTAACTGTTCTTTTCTTTCTTTATGTTCATAATATTTTTATTAACATAAATTAATTTACAAAGGGGTCTCATTATGATATTTACCTACATGGATATCATGTGCTTTGATCAAATTCACCCCTTCTATTACTCTTTCTTAACCCATCTTCCTTCTCCTCTCTTTTCAATAGTTTTTAGTGAGCTTAATTATACTATTTTCATAGATAAATGTAATGCACTTTGACCATATTCACTCTTCTCCATCTCCTTCACCTTTCTCCCTCCTTTCTCCCACGGGTTAACTTGCCCACAACAGTCACCCTTTTACAATCATGTCATATTATTATTAACTTTTTTTCAAATCTAGATTCTACATAAGAGCAAAACCATGCAATATATATCTTTCCGAACTTAGTGTATCTTCCTCAACACAATAATCTCCAGTTACATCCATTTTTCTACAAGACATAGAATTGTATTCTTCTTTATAGCCGAATAATCCCCCATTGTGTGTATATACCACATTTTCTTTACCATTCATCAGTTGGGATGATTCCGTAGCTTGGCTATTGTGAATAGTGTTCCAATAAGTATGAGCTTGCAGGTGTCTCTATTCTATGTTGGCATGCTTTCCTTCATTATATATACCCAGGAGAAGTATCGCATGGTAGCTCTCGTTTTAATTTTTAGAAGATCATTCCTCCATATTGATTTCCAGAGTGCTGCACTAATTTACATTCCACAACAGTGTATAAGAGTTCCTTTCTCCCTTGCATCCTCACCAGCATTTATTGTTGTTTGGATTTTTTGATGAAGGCCATTCTGACTGGGGTGAGATCTAGGCAGGCACTCTTACCACTTAAGCCACATCACCAGCCCTCTCAGTTTCCTTTCAATCTGCATTTCTTTTATAGCTAAGAATGTTAAAGATTTCTACATTTATTCATCTATTTACTTGCCAATTGTACTTCTTTTGAGGACTGACAGTTCAATTAGTAAATTGCCCATGTATTTGTTCTTTTGGTGCTTAATGTTTTGACCTCTTTACATATTCTGAATATTAATCCTTTGTATGATAAATTGATGCAAAGATTTTTTCCCATTCTGTGACTTGTCTCTTCATTCTGGCTGTAGTTCTCTTTGTTGTACAGAAATCTTTTAATTTCATGCGATCCTATTTGCCAATTCTTGTTCTTATTTCAAGAGTAATTAGAATCCTATTCAGAAAGTTATTTCCTACGCCTATAACTTTGAGTGTTTTGTCTATGGTTTCCCATAGCAGTTTCAAAATTTCAGGTTTTATATTGACATCTTTGATCCATTTTGAATTGATTTGTGTACAAGGTCAAGTTTCAGTTTTCAGCAGGTCTCCAACCAGTTTTCCCAGAAACATTTCTTATAGAGGCTGTCTTTTTATCAATGTACACTTCTGCCAAAAATCAGATGACTATTGCCACATGTGATTATTACTCATTCTTCTGTTCTGTTGGTCCACAGGTCTCTTTTTTTTTCCCAGTTGTCATTTTTTGTCATATTGTTTTTTATTATGGCTCTGTATTATAATTTGAAGTCAAGTGTTCTGATTCATCTAGCATTTCTCTTTTTATTAAGGATTGCTTTGACTATTCACAGTCTTTTATGTTTCCATATGAATTTTGGGATGTATTTTTCTATTTCTGTGAAGAGTGACATTGGGATTTTGATGGAGATTGCATTGAATCTATAGATTGCTTTCAGTAGTATAGTCATTTTCACAATGTTAATTCTGCCAATCCATGAACAGTCTTTTTGTCTTCTAGTGACTTTTTCAAATTCTTCAATGTTTTATAGTTTTCAAAATACTAAACTTTAATCTTCTTGATTAAGTTCACTCTTTGGTTTTTAATTTTTTGAGGCAGTTATGAGTGGGATTACTTTTCTGATTTCTTTCTCAGCTTGTTTATTGTTGTTATATAGAAAAATACTGTTTTTTATCCTTCTACATGCCCAAAGTGTTTATCAGATCTAAGAGTTTTTTGGTTGAAACTTTAGAATCTTTTATGGATAGGCTGATATCATCTGCAAATAGGGATAATTTAAGATTTTCCTTTCCTATTCATATCCTTTTATTTCTCATATGCTATGGGTAAGAATTCAATAAAGGTATTTAGTAAGAGTGGAGAGAGCAGACACCTTTGTCTCACTCCTGACTTTAGAGAAAATTATTTCAGTTTTTCCTCATTTAGAATGATGTTGGCTATAGGTTTGTAATATATACCCTTTTTTATGTTGAGATATTTTCTTTCTTTTCCTAGTTTCTTCAGAGCTTTTATCATTAAGCAATGATGGATTTTGTCAAAGGTTTTATTCTGTATCTGTTAAGCTGGTCACATGATTTTTTATTTGTTTTGCTGTTTATGTGCTGCATTATGTTTATTGACTTCCATTTGAGGAACTATCCTCATGTGCCTGAAATGAAACCATCTTCATCATGGTACATGATATTTTTAATGCAGTTGAATTCAATTAGCAAGTATTTTATTGAGAATTTTTGTGTCTATGTTCACCAAAGAAATTGGTGTATAGTTTTCTTTTTCTTTTTCATTCTTTCTTTTTTGTTGTTGTGTCTTTATTCTGTTTTATTATCAAGATAATACTGGTATCATTGAATGAGTTTGGAAGCATTCCTTCCTTTTCCATTTTATAGAATAGTTTGAGAAGAAGTGATGTTAGTTCTCCTTTAAAGTACTGGTAGATTTCCAGCCCTGGGCTCATCTTTGCTAGGAGATTCTTTTTTACTGCTTCAATCTCTTTGCTCTTGTAGATATCTTTAAGTGGTTGTTATCTACTTAGCTAACATGAACCAAGAAATCTATGTCTAATTGTAAAGTTTCTTTGTTGAGTTTTTGTCTGGATGACTTACCTGTTGGTGAGAGCAAGATATTGAAGTCACACATTATTATTGTATTGGTGTATATCTGTGCTTTTACGTCAATACTGTTTAATGAAGCTGGGTGTACCAACCATTCATGCCTGTATGTTTTTAATTGTTATTGCCTTTTGGTGGATTGTTCCCTTTATCAATATAAAATGACCTTCTTCTCTTCTGATTAATTTTATTGGACATATGCTTTGTCAAATATGAGTATAGCTTCTCCTACTTGCTTCAGGGATTCATTTGCTTGGAAGATCATTTTACAACTTTTCACTTTATGCCTCCATTTGTCTCTGATTTTTATATGCATCAAATAGTTGGATCTTGTTTGTTAATCCATCTTACCTATCTGTGTCTTTTGATTAGAGAACTGAGACCATTAACTTCAAAGTTATTTTTGAAAGTTATGTAGTAATTCTTGTCATTGTGTTATCTCTGTAATGTTTGATTCTTTCTCAATCCTCATTTGCCTATCTACTAATGTAGTGATATTTATTGTTTCCCATATTTTCCTTGTTGCATTTATCTTCCTCTTCTGTGTATTGGATTATCTTAAATTTCCTCTGCAATGCTGACTTAGTGGTCAGGAATTCTTTTAGTTTTTGTTTATCATGGAATATTTGTATATCTCCTTTAACTATGAAGGATAGCTTGGCTGAGTACAGTAATCAAAGTTGGAAATTATTTTATTTTAGGTCTAGAAATACATCATTCCATGCCCTCCTTGCTTTTAGAGTTTTTGTTGAATAATCTGGTATTATTCTGCTGTTATTCTCATTGGTGCTTTTTCTCTTACAGTTTTCACTCTTCTTTTCTTAATTTGTATACATGTTATAATTATAATATGCCTTGGAGAGACTCTTGTCTGGTCTTATCTGTTGGTGCTCTAAAATCCTCTTGTACCTGGATGACTTTCTCAAGATTTGGTAATTTTTTCCTAGTATTTTATTGAATATATTTTCTGCAACTTTAACTTCCACCTCTTCTCCATCTTTTATGCCCATGTTTCATAGTTTTGGTGTTTTAATGGTGTTCCACAGGTCTTGCATGTTCCATTCATACTTTGTTATTTTTTTCTTTTTCTGAAGGTTTTAGTATATCTACCTTGTCTTCAGGACCTGATACTCTGTCTTCAGTTTGATCCAATCTACAGAAGAGGATTTTCAACTGAAGTTTTTATTTGACTTATTGAACTTTGCATTTCCAGAATTTCAATTTGATTTTATTCAGAATTTCTGTATCTTGATTGAATTCCTCTTTCATACCTTACATTGTCTTCTTTATTTCATTCAGCTGTTTATTTGTATTCTCTCTGAATTCTTTCATCAATTTATTTGAGTTGAGGTGTTTATACAAGTCATCTTCAATTTTATTGGTCATTCTTATAACCATTCTTCTGCATTCTTCGTCTGGAGTTTCATATACTTAGTGTCTGTTACTGTACGTTGTTAGCTTTGGAGGAGTCAAGTTTCTTTGCTTTTTCATAATTCTTATGTTTCTGCATTGAGATTTACACATTCAAGGCCAAGCTCTTGGTTAAAAGTTTTAATTACCTGCAGTCTTTTGGTTAGTGTTTCAATATTCAGTCACGACTGTATATTGGCAGGGCTGAAGTGAACTTCTTGCCATTTGTCTTTAGGGTAGCTCAGTAGCAAGACGTTTGCCTGCATGCTCAGGGCATCAGGCCTGATCCCCAGCACCACTTAGAGGAAAAGTAACTGGAGATTTTGTAGTTACTAGGGTATGGGTTATTGCCACGTGTAGGCTGAGGACAAGGGCAGCTCTACAGTTCAGTGTGCTTTTACATATTATCCTTTTCCCTACCCTGTTTGTTCAGCATTATTAAGTATATTTCAATGCGTGTTGTTACTACACAGTGTCTAAAGCAATACAATGCAATTGGCTTAGTATATGCACAATACTAATGTGGGTTTGTGACATTGTGCTTCCCCTCACTCCCAAGGTTCTTGGCACCTAGAAAAGTGTAAGCCGTATGTAAATATTTAGCACATGTAAGTGGTTTAATTTGGGGCTATATTACCCTTAACAGTAGAGGTACAGTACTCAATAGCAGAGTACTCTTCCATTTAGGAAGGAGGTCAATCTTATCATTCTACCTTATTGCACAAAAAATAAAGGGCTTTGGATTTCTTTATATAATTGTCTTAGTAAATGACAAATCACTTAATACCACGTCAGTAATTGTAATTTTTTAAAGGTCCTCCTGGACCCCCAGGTGAAAAAGGAGACAGAGGTCCCATTGGAGCAAGTGGTCTGCCAGGCATTCCAGGCCAAAAAGGTATGGTAATATTAAATACTTAATCATATACTATGAATGTATGTAATGACATCCATGTATGTGTATAGAGGAGAATAGTTATTTGTTTCCTGTGGTTTATATGTGTATGTTTTGGAGGAGATAGTAAGCGTTCTACCAGGCTAATCATGCATGTATTTGTAATCATAGAATATGCTGAAGGTAAACATTGACCCTTGACTTTTGAAGAAAATTAGATGCTTTAGCCAGAGTCACAACATGGAGTTTCTTATGAGTCTAAGGGGAGTCATATCTATCATAGACAACAAACATCATACAGTGTGAAAGAGAATATGAAAATCATCTTCATATTGAACAAATTTGCATGATCTGCCTTTTAAGATACAAAACTTACATTCATATAAATCAGGGAGTATTGGAACGTATTTCTTATATATTCCTTGACTAGACTATATCTGCATAAACTCACAAAATCTGAAAGTAAATATTGGTTAGAACATAGATGACTTTTACTGCACTCTCTTTAATCTTGAAAGCAATGTTTTGAAAGAAGATGATAGAAGACATAAAAAAGGAGAGAGAACAAGAACTTTCTTTGCTCTTAAAAAAATGAAAATGAGAATAACAATAACAACTGTCCTGCCATACTGGACTACAAATTAAATGCCCCGAATGGTGTGTGATAGCATAGAATACATCACGTGGTTTAATTATAACTAGAATTGTCTGAGTTGTCAAAAAATATCTGAATACCTTGTATTTCATCTTATTTTTCTGTTTTTCTTCATATAAAATTTTCTTCTTTCTGATCAATTATTGATTAGCTAAATGTATTGACTTCATATCAGAAAAACAATTTTTAAAAATGAAAAGCATGAATTTGACACCTGCAAGATCTTTACATTATTATGCCTAAAAAATAATATAGACATAGACATAGATACATAAAATTTATCTTAAAAAATTAAATATATTTAAATATTTTAAGACCATATGTGTGTGTGTGTGTGTGCGCACGTGTGTGTGTGTATGTAGAAAGTGAGAGAGTGAGTTTGGTATTGGTGTGCCTTTACATCTGCAAAAAATTTTATTCATAAAGATCCTTCTACTTGACTAGGGCTCAGCAGATCTTAATAATGGTGCATTGATGTCATAAGCAGGGAAGTAACCACCATTATAGAACTACTGTTCTACTCTAGAACCAGCTGCCAGAACTACTGTTGTCAGTACCTGTTTCTCCTCCATTGCAAATCATAATCGTCAAAGCTTTATAGCTCAACCACAGAAGTTCAGTCTGAGTTACAACTTGTTTCAGACAGCTTCCCTTTGAGAACTTCTTTGGCAGCTCTTTCTGAACTATGCATGTATGAGATACAAAGAGGGATTTTAAAGTTCTCAACTTCTTGTTAATGCCCTAAGTCAACACCATTGTAAAGCTTCTTTTCTCTACTTTCTTTCTGTTGGTCCTGCTTATTTACACAAATAGGTTTTATCCAGTTCCCTCATAAGAAAGAGTTAGGTAGTTACTTACTTAGGTAGGTAGGTAGGTAGTTGCTGGAGAGAAAAACTAACTCTTTCAGGTTATCAGATTGCCATATGGTTTGGTGCAAGGTAACAAAACTATTCAAACTACTCAGCAATTCTTCTAATGGATTCTTCCTATGTAATTTCTGTATTTTGTTTATTTGCTTGCTATATTGCCTAATTCTCTCAAAGTTAATACTGAATTCAGAAAGTAAAGAGTATATGGTGGGCAGTCACACAAAGAGTTCTACTTTCTGATTTGAACAAGTTCCTAAGTCCCTACAAATACATTCATTTGAGCCCATTAAACTCAGCTTCATAAAATCAAACACCTGAACCCAAAACCATGTCATAAACAGCCAAGAAAATTAAGCAGTTACCCTAATGGTCTTACATCATCAATACAGTAAATATATTACAATTATTGCTCATGTGCTAAAGTAGATATTATGCTAAAATATGCTTTTGCTAAAAAGAATAAAATGGAAATTCTTTTTAGAGTATTATTTCCTTGGAAGAATGCAAGGGATTTGATCTATCCCCTTTCACTCAAAATCATGTACTGAGCACTTTTCCAGTGTCTTTTGTTCTGCAACACCATTGGATAATGAAGAAAGCAGATAGGGAGTATCTGCCTTCACAGAACTTACAGATAAGTAGATGTGATAAGTAATTTCATAAGAGAGATGAATGTCATGACAAGGATACTTGATCTTATCTTAAATCCTATTGGAGGCCAATTATGGGTCAATTTTTCTCATGATAAAAATGGTTCAGGAAAGGGCCACTTGCATAGTTTCTGAAGGAATCTTTTTGTAGGTCATCTAATGGACTCAGTGAGATAAATAACAAGGTAATCCAACCTTGAAAGAGAGGTGGAGTGCCTCCAAAAGATGTGTTGAGAGAGAATAGAAGGCTCTCCTGGTTGCAAAATTTTCATTTCCAACCAATGCTGTGTACTTTTCTTACACCATAAGAATTATGCCTCTGGAAAAAAATAAAGCTCAGCTTGACTGTGGGTATTAGAAGACAGGAACCATACTTTATTAGTCTTTATGTTGATATATTTCTTTGCCTGCTCTTCCACCCCTCTACTCAGCTGCAGGCGCTCTGTGCCTGACTATTGAAAGTGACAGGTAAAAAAATATATAGTTCCAATGAATCAAAAAACCATCAGTAATAACTATGTACATATTATTAAATTAAACTAAATTTATCAGCCTTCATGAAAGGCTGTTGAAAATAATGATTGTATTATGAGGAGAGAAGGAGGAGGAACAATAATGCTGTGTTTATTACATGCCAGGAACTTTTCTAAGTGTTTTACATTTATTAGCTCACTTAATTATTAAATCAAACTGGTGATGTATGAATGAATAAATAATACACCTGTTTTATGATTGCACAGGAAGGTTAAATGACTTTCTCAAGGTTAATCCTCACCTTGTCAGTATCAGAGATAGTATTTAAACCCAGCTGGGCCTAATTTCAGAGGCCATTCTCTTAACCAGCCTGCTAGACCTCAGAAAGAAGCCTGACCAGAGATTGGGAACCTAAGATATGTGAACAATTATCAGACCAGCCTCATGCAAATGGTTTAATCTCTCTGCTTTCTGGTCCTGCTGCTGACAAGTGCAGATTTAGTTCTTTGAGAATGCCAGCATTCCATTGCTGAAGGTCTATGTCTTTGTACTCACATTGCCCGTGAATCTGAAGTTGGTGCCAAGCTCTTCATTCTTGCCATGAACTATTGTACAAAATTAACCAGTTTTCCCCTGAAAGATTCAGAGAATCTTGTGTCTTAGAATAAAATCCAACAGTGGTGCTACATTTAGGGGACACGTGTCAAGTATCATTAAGCAAACAAGTCACATAATTCTATAGATCAGATAGAATCTGCTTTAACTTTTCCCACAATAGTCTAATGATTTACAGATTTCTATGAACGTATCCCAGGTGATTCCTTTGTGGATTTATTTGTTCATCTGTGGAAACCATACCATAATTCATAAGCAGCTGCATTCTGAATGTCACTGCAATGTTATCAACAAGCCATCATCAGCATGTTCCACTCTTCTAAAGCAGATAACAAAGTATCTATTACATCCCCCAGGTTTTCCACAGTTACATAATCTTCAAAATTACCTTCTTAGTATACTTGTTACTTTTCTCACCATCTGTCTCTCTACTATGTCTTCACATAGAAAGATGTGTTTAGACAAGAATGCTATAAATTCTAGGAATAAACAGTCTGGCACAAATATATGCTCAATAGATATTTGTTGAACTAAGAGAGAAAATAGAAATGAGAGTTACTTGTGAGTGGCACTCTATGAGAGTGGGAAAATGTCAAAATTGCTAAAAAACAAAAGAACTTAGTGCTTTTATTTGTAAATTTGAGTGACAGATTTTGTGTTAGTCAACCTTTCGTCACTGTGAAAACCTAAGAAAAACAACTTGAGGAGCAAAGATTCCCTTTGTCTCAAGGTTTCAGAGACAAAGTCACTGGCTCTGTGGTCACTTGGCTTTGTGGTTTCTGGGATGTGATGAGGCACAGCACCATGACAGGGAGTATATGGTAAAGCAAAACTGCTCCATTTCATGGCTTTGGAAAGCAGAGAGTGGGGGAGAGGAAGGGTCTGAGGACAAGATCCCGACTTGAAACATAAACCCTACTTCCTCTAAGTAGGCACTTCCTCCTAATAGACCTTTCAGCTATGACATCATCCATGAATAAATCCAATGATCTGGTTAGCATCTCATGATCCAATCACCTCATAATAGCACTACCAGCTGGAGACCAAGCCTTCAACGTGTAAGGTATTTGGAGGACACCCCTTATCTAAAGCATAACATTTCTCCATAACTCTTAAGTGCAGAGGTCTGACTGTATAATGAAGGAATTATCAGCTTATCTTGAGAACAGATATTAGGCCATATTAGACTGTATGCTGAAAAATCCAGGCAATATATATACAAAGTATATAGTACATTTGGTATAGTACTATATACTATAAGTATATGTATACATACAATGTGGTATATATACAAAGCAATATATATTGAGTAATTAAATTGAGTTAAAATGTAATGTCCTGACTTTAATATTTCTAAGTATAATTTATCACATTATTTATCATTTTTTTAGGTACATGCTTGATTTCTGTTGGAATCAAAGTTTTATACTGGTTTTGGGTAACATTTCTTAACTATTTATAGTAATATGCTTCTTAAACTGAAAATTTCTAAGAGGAAACATATCAGTTTTAGGTATCTATATGAAATCTCAATAAAATATTTTTAATGATTCAAATAATGCATACATTCTGCCTCCTGGATCTTATACACCAAAGGCAATATTCCAAAGGCTGACACTGGAGAAAGAAGCATAATCAGTTTTTCAATGTCCTCCTCTGACATAAAATTGGATTAATGGGATCACTGTGAACTGATAATGGCACTTAAAACAAGGAAAAATAAGGCATTTAAACCATTTGATGTTAGTTTGTCTCAAATTGCTGAATTCCAGAATGAAATATTTTATTCCATAAGAATATAACATTTGCTTTTATGTGTAGCTTTTTGGGGTCACTATAGAGATATGAGGTAAAGAAATGGTCATTTTCAGTTTAAATTTAAGTATATAAAATCCTGGATTTGTATATAGAGATTACATATACCCATAAATAATCTGTGGAGAGAGAAGGAGAGAGTTATAGTATTGACATTATTTAGGATTATGGGGGAATATGCAAAAATAGATCCATGAAACAGAAAGTTTATTCAAGAACTAGGACCACATTTTTAAAACAAATACTCTGTGATATTTTTCATGTTTGTGTCATGCTTTTACTAAGGTAAATTTTAAAAATTCAATTTTCAGCAAGTTATGTTCTCAGCTATAAGCAAAATCTGCCATTTGATGTTTCCTGATGGATTACACAGCCTCTGGTTAAAACTCTAATACATTTTTCCTCATGTGCTTTTATTTCTACTACATTTTATTTATTGAATATCTACAATGCACTAATGCTTACATTTATTATTCATATTATCTTTTAGTGGAACACATGAAATTTTAGGAAAGATAATATCCTCCATTTGGAGATTTATTTAATTCACATTAATTCATCACATCCTCAAATTGGTGTGAAAATGAATTGTTATACAGTTTTGTTTTCCTTATTACCATATAGGTTCTCCAGGTCTTAAAGGCGATCGTGGAGCACCTGGCTTTCCTGGACGTACAGGATACTCAGGACCACCAGGAAAGATGGGGAGAACAGGTATTACACTGTGTATTTTGTTACAGAATATACAAATAACACCATATGACAAACAGTGTTTTGTTCAAATCTTGGATAAAAAAATTGCCTATCATAATATTAATAGTAGGATTCTCAAAAGGTTTATTTTGTGATCTGAAACATTTTGAAACTGAGTTCTGTCACCTGAGGAAAGTTTCTAGACCCTAAAGGAAAATCATTTACAAAAACATGTAGGATTTATATACTTTACACAATCATAAGTCACCATGAATAATGGTATCTATCTTAGAACAAATAGAGTGGAAAGACTGGAAAAGAAAAACAAACAAGCAAAGTATAAATAACCCTTTAACCACAACTGGTCAAACCTTGCCAAGTTACAGTTGGAAAATACTGATAACCTTGAATCCTATCTTAGGCAAAATAAACTGCTATTACTTATTGGTGCTTAATAATCAACATTGGTCAGTATATTAACATATGTATACATTATGATAATATTTCCATTGATCATTCTAATAGTCAAAAATTAGATTGAATATTTTCCACAGCAATTTTAAAAGACAGAAATTCCCTAATTTCAAAGTAAATGATTACCAAGAGAATAGTATCCATATTATTGAGGTAATTTATAATCAATTTTATTTTTAGAGCAGTTTTAGATTGATAGAAAAATTGCACAGAAGGTGGAGAGTTCCCATGTACCACTCACCTGACACAGTTTCCCCTATTATTAACATCTTGCATTAGTGTAAAGCAATGAAAACAAATAATGATACATTATTATTCATGAAAACCCATTATTTACATTTGGGATTATTCTTTTGTTCTATGTTATATGGGCCTTGGCAATTACACATGTCATGTATCTATCATTGCAGTATAATACAGAATAATTTCACTTCCCTAAAGATCCCCTATGCTCCACTACCCCCACTCCCCAAAGCCCAAGGCAAACATGAATCATTTCACTCTTTCCAGAATTTCACATTGAATGACTGTATGGAATCACACAGTATTTTGTATCTTTGCACCAATTTCTTTCACCTAGAAATAAGTATTTAGGGTTTCTCTGTATCTTTTCATGGATTGATTGTTTATTTCTCTATATTATTCAATGATATTCCATTCTATGAATTTACTATAATTTATCTATTTACTTATTGAAGAACATCTTGGTTGCTTCCAAATTTTGACAATTACTAATAAAGATGCAATTAGCCTCCATGAGCATGTTTGTTTATGTAGACAAGAGTTTACCTAGTCCAAAAATGGTGGGGCAGGCTTATAATCCCAGCACTTGAGAGACTGTGACAAGAGGATTAACAGTAGCAGGCTAACCTGGGTGAGACCCTATCTCTAAAAAAAAAACCAGAAAAAGAGTTTACCTAGGAGTGATTGGTAGATCACATGATAAACATACATTCAGCTTTGTAGGACACTGTTACCTTACTAAGTGACTCTTTTGCATTCCAACCAGCAATATATGCAGATTTCCTGGGCATCACATGCTTGCTGGCATTTGGCGTTGTCAGTGTTTTCGATTTTAGCAGTTGTAGTAAATATGTTGCATTATTGCTGATAATATCAGTGTATGTGAACTATATTGATGCCAATTAGCTTGGAGAAAAATCTGCTAGCCACCAATAAGCAACCTGTAATTAGTTTCCACTAGAGACTTGATTACCTGAAATGAGTGGTATATTTCTGAACCAACCACTTCTAAAGCACCTAGCTTTAATCAGGCACTTAGCAATATGGGAAGCATTTATTTAATTTGCCTGAAATTATCTATGTCACTCAGGGATTTCTCACTTTCCTACATAGGCAATTTGAGTTCAATAGACAAATATATTTAAAACTGTAAATTTGATACAATTGTAAAGACACTTATAAATCTCAAAACAGTTAAAACAATTCTGTGAAGTAAGGAAAAACATTTTATCTGTACTCTAAGTTTAATATAAAAATTGTGTAGTAGTTTATGATGTATTCCAAATAGTAATGGTCATTTAGTATCCCTGGCAAAAGCAAAGTAAGATTTTTGTTTTAGGCATTCAATTAACATGAAATGTTAAGGAAGTGAACACTGAGACATGGTTATTTCTATTCTCCAGGATCCAAGATGCTACTGTGTGAAAGACTTTAAAGTTTTATGCACAGTGTCTGTCTTTCCTAATTGTGAAATTAATGCTGAAATATGAAGTTAGCTGAGTATTATCTTCTCTGTAAGGAATTAGAACTGATCAGTTTCACCTTCTTTTAAACTCCTCAGATTATCACTATTTTAATTTCTTAGACTTTTCCTTTTGAACAATCTGAAAATCTGGCCCTATACTCCATAAAAAAGCATACCATTAAAAAAATAAAGCAAGTTTTGGGTACTTTGAGATAATAATAGTTTTTTACCAACTTAATAGTACCTGAATTGACTCAATCATAATTCATAAGTGAATTTAATGATATAAAATATAACCATATTGTACAAAGCTAGTTGAGAATTTGAAATTCTCTTTATAGTACTCTGATAAGAAATGTTTGGCACTTAATTAAATCTTCAAATTAAAAACTTAATTTTGATCAATTTATACTTTTTAAATGCTTCAGTTCTCATGCTACTCACTATACTACATTTTTAAATGTTTGATAAAGTAGAGGCCAGAAATCTTCTGTAAGATGTACATATAGACAAATATTTAAAACAAAGCCCAGAAGAAGACAAAATAAGCTATAGAAACCCAAAATAAATTAATATTAATTTTTAAAAATAAAATTTAAAATGATCATGCAAAAAAAGCGAAGTGATACGAAAAATTCCTTATCTTTCACTTACTGATACTATAGTCACAGACATCAGTGTCTAGTGAAGCTATGGCAGACGAAAAACAGAAATAATGCAAAAAAGTAGCTGCCATCTCTTATGGACAAGTGCCTTATGAACATTGTTAATTTTCTAAGCAACTCTACAGTGGAAGGTACTTTTCTTCATTTTGTAGAAGAGTAAACTTTAGCTCAAAAATGTTTAAACTTTACTCAGTCACATGCCTAGTAAGTGGAAGAGAAGAATCATTCAAGACAAAAGCTTTAAACTCATTAGCATAATTCCAAAGGCTGTCATTTATAAACTGCATACTCTCATGTAGTTTGGATGGAAAGACAGAGATGCTTGATTTTGTAGGCAAAATCAAAAACATGAGCAATGAATTTGACTTTGAAAGATCACTAAAATCACACCTACATTTGTGCTAAGAAGATAATTATTTGCAAGATAAATATCTGATGCCTGTTAGAGGATGAAGTAATAATCAAGAGTGGCACCACTCCCACAGATGAAATTGACAGTATTAAAATTGCTTGTTGGGGCTGGGTGTGGTGATGCAGGCCTATAATCCCATTACTTAGGAGGCTGAGTCAGGAGGATCATTAGATCAAAGCCAGCTTGTGCAACATAGCAAGATCCTTTTTCAAAAAACCAAACAAAATAAAATTTCTTGCTGGTGCTAAAGAAGTATCTCCTGGGTACTTCCTTTAAAAAACTAAACTATGGCTGAAGTAGCAATCCTTAGCAAGAGAGAGGTCCAGCAATACTTCCACATTTATTTAGCCCTGATCCTCATATAGGATATTTGTACCACATGCATCTGAAAATAGAAGAGACGTTTAAAGCCCAAAGAGACCAGCCTAGAGGTTTGAATTCTCCATGAATCTTTTTATCATCTTCAAGGAATGAGGTCATAGGAATCACAACAATCCCAGAAATTCATTCACAGCCCAGTCTTTGAGATGCCTTGCCCTAAAGGAATGTACAATGAAACAGATAAATTACAAATTGTAATCAGAATAAAAGAACAGGTTTAGATGAAATGGAAAAGTATTGACCTTCCTGAGGTGGGAGGAAATCAGTCAGAGGAAGAGGAAAAAGTGGGACAAATAAGCACAAAACAAACTACTTACCCTTCGGCTTTGCCTGTTGTATGTTAATGGGACATTATAATGCCCTTGTAAATAATTTGAGAAAGTATAATATCACATTCATAATCGTGTTTTGATTGTGATAACCATCATTATTAATGTGAACATTACTACTGCATTTCAATAACTGAAGGTTTCCATAGATTGATATTTTGTGAAGTCTTAGCTCCATTTAAAGCAAGGTTGTAGGTATATATGCATATACAAAGCCGTGGGTTCAATCTCTAGAAGAGAGAGGGAGAGAAAGACAGAGACATACAGAGGGCTAGAAGAAGAGAGAGAAGGAGGGGAAGGAGAAAGGAAAAATGGGAGGAAAGGGATGGAGAGAAAGGGGAAGAAGGAAGGAAGGGAAAGAAGGAAGGATTGTGAATTGCATTGACATCATTTTTGCTGGGTTTTCAAGGTGCTCCTGGACAAAAAGGCCAAAAGGGAGAAAGGGGGAGTGGAAGCACATTAGGTAAGTTTGTAGTTTCTAGTCTCCTTTGTGCATTTTTGTAATAAATAAGATTGTGATATTAGTGGTTTGAACCTGAGAAAAATGTCAAGAAATTCCATATTGATCCATAGAGAGTGTGTGGAAGCCGGCCAGTTTTCTACAAATGAAACATGCTAATTGTAGTAAAACAAATAGACTAAATTATACAACTCTTTCAATCTCACTGCTCATTTGTATTCTGTTTTCTGTGATGAGTACTATTTTCTAAAAGTTCCACACAGAAAATTCTTCAATTTTCAAGTCAATTTCTATCCACCAAAGGAAAATCAAGTTTATGAATGAAAACAGTTATAGCCTACTTACTTACTAAGTGAGCTAACCAAAACCTAATACATAGGAATTTGGACAACCTAAGAACCTTGACAGATCAACTCTCTGATGGCCAGGATGTTTTTGGGTTTTTTTTGTTTTGTTTTGTTTTATTTTACTAAAAACTTGAAATGGTCCTATTTTATATCTTAGACTTTCAAACCTGCAACAGAATAGATTTCACAATAGGGACCTTTGCCCATGGAATGCAGACCTCATGCTGTAATGTAGAGTCTATACATTGGACCTTAAAATAAAATATGACAAAGCATCATCAATTTGCCATGCAATAGTTAATCTTCATGTGCCCAGACCAAGCATTAGTGTCCATTTTTTTAAAGATGGTCCCGCTTGCCTGCTGTTTACTTTTTTTTTATTTTTGTAATGAAACTGGGGTTTTATTATTTTTGTAATGAAACTGGGGTTTGAACTCAGGGCTTTGTGCTTGCAAAGCAGGGGCTTACCACTTGAGCCACATTTACAGTCCTGCTGCATACTTTTTATTTCCTTTATTCTTTTCCTTTCACTCCACTTAATTTCAGTTGAGTTCCTCACATCTCACCTTAGTTTTACTTGTATCTTTATCTATCTCTACCTTTACTCTTTATCTTTTTTCTTTATCTCCTTTCCCTGAAGCTTTCTCTGAGCTTCTAAACATTGACTGTAGTTGAGTCTGGCAAGTAAAGAATTTATTTTTTTTTTTAGTTTGAAAACTGAACAGCCACATACTTTCAATTACCTGAGGTTATCATATGCTTGGAACATTTTTTCAGCTATGTTTAGAAATGTCAATTATGGATTTTTCATGGCTATTTTGGAGTTTATGTGCATCCTTTCTCTGAGAAAGTAGTAAGAGCTATTTATGGGTATATGTGTATGTAGCCTCTGGATTCTTCTCCATGCCTACTTCAAAAAGAGTATATAAACCAACTCCATGTTTCCATCAGTGAGAAAGACACATATACATGCACATCTAACATAATAGCCTCTGCATTTCAGGTTAGGTTAGCATGTCACTCACCTGTCCCTGTCATTACATATTGTCTACCTCTTTTCTGTCAGTGACTACCCATTATTTCAACATACAGCTATACTGTAATTATCATTATACAACCATTCAGTCCCATAGTCTTGAACACTTAGTTATTTTTGTTTGCTTTGGTTTGGCTTTAATAAACAATGCTATATAAAACACTCTCATACATGATCATATGAGAATATTTCTCAGTAGAGTAGAATCAATGGCTCACAGGTAATATGCATTTTATAATTGAATGATTCTTGCAAATGGCTCCAAAAAGGCTGAAGTGACTGATTCACCATCTTTAATTCTGGTATGTAAAAAGTTATATTTAATCATTTTAATATATATTTTATGATTTGGATATGAATTTAATATAAAAATAAAGTTGATTTCCTCTTTTATGTAGACAGATTATGACAAATTCTTTGATGTGCCAAAATCTCAATTTTAAGTTGTAATCATTGATTTAAAAAATATAATACCAGTATTTCTTAGCTTTCTTTCACTAAAAATAATTATTTTACTAGGAGTAAAACTGGAAAAAATAAGTCCTGTTTGAGGACTAGTACAACTTCCCATTCCTATTAGGGTAAGGCACTTTTAAGATCAAGTGGGTTGGGCAGGACATCCAGTGCTACCATCTCATTAAAAAGCCTTTCACCTCTGGACAGGTCATCAATAGAACTGACTTCCAAGATCCCTTTTCGACTCCTTCAAATGACCTTGGTTCCTGTGGCTTCTACATGGCTTCCTCTCCTGATCCTTGGTGCTGTTTGGGTCTCTGCTATTATGTTCATACCATTCCCCACTCCCCCTACCCTCACCTCTATCCTCTAGTACCCTAGGCCCCTTGTGCTGACTGGTGGGATGCTACAGTCCATACTCAGGTTCCAGGGCAGCTGCCCACTGCTGTCCATTCACCAACCTGGCTGAATCTATTTCAACCCATTGGGTTCTAGGAGAAATTTCATGTATACTGATTATATATGTATTTTTAAAATTATTTTGAACAGGGATAGGGATGACACAGAAAATCCATCCATCCATTCATTCATTCATTTAGCATATATTCACTATGTACCTCCTGGAGTTAGACATAACAGTGAGTAAGATAGATATTGTCTCTGTCCTGACAGAGACAACTGTTCCTGAGAGAAACACACAAATAAACAGGCATTTATAGCATATAGAACTATACTGGAGAACAGGGCTGTATAGGTGTTCAAGGCAATATTTTTTAATTCCTTCAAATACCAAAATTAGATTTATTTTGATTTTCTTTGCTTACCTCCCTGTTATCTTAGATAACTTACTCAACACATTTGAACCAAACCCAAAATGTGTTTTCTTAAATTACTTGTTCATTTCAAACAGAAACACCTTTATCATGAAAAAATTGTGCTGATAATGTTTTATTCCAGAAAAACACTTTGCATTTTATGTTTTAAATTGAGATCCTAGAGAAGAAGAAATATTCCAGTGAAATTGAAAATATTTTGCATAGGTAAAGAAAGGGAAGGAAATTTTTTAAAAATTGGGAAAAGTAAGAAAAGGCAGACCAAAAAAAAAATGGATTAGGAAAGATACGGGATTCCAAGTTATTTTTAAGTGCTTCCCTCTGGATTAACACTACATATTCACAAGTCTCCTTTCCTTTAAGTTTTAACACATAGTCCCAAGGTTCCCAGCATCAAATGCTAGCAAAATTCTAAGTTGTACTTCTCCATATTCATCCCCTACCCTGCCAAAAGGTTGTGTCAACACCTACCTCACAGGGTTGTTGTGAGGACCAGATGAGATGGTTTGTGTGTATGACGATGGTCTGTAAAATCATAAACTGCTTTAAAGTCATAAGGTGTGTTTCACAGTGGTCTTTCTGAACTGAAACTTCTGTTTCTTACTGACAAAATGCAGACATTTTAAATCTACCAAAAGAATAGGAGAGAAAGCAGAATGAAAATGCAAGGAAGCCAAATAAGTACCAGGGAGGAAAAAAAAGAGGCTAGAGAATAAGATTTTTATGTTAGAAAGAGCAACACAAGTGTGACCAGATCACAAATCAATGAATAACTTAACAGATTGCAAATAAAAGACCAAAAGCTGTCTTCAGAGGTGAAAACAAAATGTCAGACTAATTAAACAAGAACCTGGGTTCTGCAGAACAATGCCTAAGCCCAAGACACTTCTATTGAGGTAGTTCCAAGAAAGGTTGTTACAGAATAGGTTTGTCTATGGCACTTAGCTCTATGCCTGCATGACACTACAATTCCCAGAGGAAAAAAGGAAGGAATAACCAGTGGTCCAAGTAGTCCTCAGCATTAGAAATCTAGCAACATTGAACAGATAGTTAGTGCAAACATCTAGAGGTAAATTGCATCTTTGTCCATGGTTGTATTTGTTGTAACTTCCTATCCCACTCTGCACTGAAGGTGGAGTATATAGAGTAGACTCTTGTACCAGCAGGCCTCCCCTTGGTGTGGACCACACCAAGGGTGTGGCCCTGATCCCAGAGGTCCTAAAAAATAATTCCAAGGGATTCGGTTCTCAAGTCATCTCACATTCCAAATGGAAGATAGATTGTTAAGTGTGAAATACTAAACTGAGCTTTCTGAATTATGGCAGAAAGACTTTGCTTCTCTGTTTACATAAAAATAGATGCCAAATACCCAGTTAGAATGCATAAATTATACCAACTTTAATAATGTATAATGAAAAGAAGTCTGCTTCAAATTCTGATGCTAGTCACAATGAATTTTTGCTATGTTCTTTTTCTAAATGGGAATCATATGTGCTTTAGTTAAGAAAAAGAATTCCTACCCTACAATTAAATACTTTGTGAGGATCTGTCTTAAATAGTCCCATTATTTATATGTGGTCTGTTTGTATATTTTACTGTGCTTTGCTCATATCCAGTGAGACTTCAAGTAGAATGTGAATTTTGAGTTTTTTATTTTGAAATTCATTCAGTGATATAAAAAATCTTTTTGTTTTTGGTTTGATTTATATTGAGGTCTCAGCTTAATCTTAAATGATTTCTGGTCTTTCCCAAAGTTGACCAAGGTAAAGCCTTCTCTGATCACTAAATAATTATGACAATGAACATTTAGAGGACATTTGCTGTATGCTAGGCAGTTTTGATACATTGTCATATCTAACATTCAGAAAATACATTAGAGTTAGAACTATTAATAACACCATTTAAGGTACTAGAATTCAAGGCTTGCTGCAAATAAGTAGAAGAGTAGAAACTCAAAGCCATATCTACCAGTCTCCAAAATCCCTATGACTTCATTTCATACTCCCATACTAGCTTTAAGTACTATGTATGTGTGTGTATATACACATACATATGTATTTATACATATATATAACAGTATTTAATGTGTAAAGAAAAAAATGAGACTTCTAATGAGCAGTCTGGTTTTCTAGAATGAGCCCAATTCTTAGAAGACACTAAAGAAATAAGAATTCTTACATTAGGCCAAATTCCAAAAAAAAAAATTCTCAACTCATTTTTATTTGTTTATGCTTCCACCTTCATATAACTACTCCAGGCATTGCCTGTAGTCTCTTCCCCATGTATATTACTCAGAAACATAGTCTTCCTAGAATGCTCTCAAAGCTTTCATTATCACTAATGAGAGTTACTTATATGCACCTCGGGAAGAGCTACCTGTTAATATTCTATCTTTATTTCAGTAACTAGCTTAGTTTTAACATTTTTCAGTATCATTTGGCTGATTTTATATGTCTCTTTTTGAAATCTACAATATACTTTTCTCAGTAGCATTAGTTATGAGCTAGCAGAACACAGTATAACTGAGCAGTGATGGCTGGAGGTAAATTATACAAAGACTGTTCATTCTTAACAGTTATGTGGTTTAAAGTTTTATATGATTCCAGAAATTGTTGCTAAAAACATACAGCATTCTATTAGCACAACACATATGCTCTTTAATAGTGTGATAACTGATATATCTTGTAAATTGAAATAGAAATTTAAATCAGTAATGGATCAAGTAGTCAGCACTTGTCGTAGGATCCCAAATGACTCTTGCAGCCTGACCCACCAAAGCCAATTAGAAGGGAAAAAATCAATACAACCCATCTAGGTCTTTTGAACCAGCAAATTTGAAATTCATCCAGTGTGTGCTGGAATGCAGATCGAGAAGAAAGACTGACGTGCTGCTTCCCATCCCTCCACAACTTCCAAAGAGCCAAGTAACTTTCCTTGCTACTGGCTTTCTATCCTACAGTAAGAAACTTAGCCTTGCATAAGCTCAGATCACTTATGTGGTTCAAATTAAAACATCTTTCAAGTAGAGACTCTCAGTCCATTATTCAATCCCCTCACCTTGTCTTCTCTGGAGGAGTGTTCTGCCCTAGACTGAAGTGTCCATGAAATCCTCCTCATTATGGCTAAACCCATGGGCTCTTACTTTTCCCTGAGGTACTAAAGGTATTCCCAGTTCCTGCTTCCCTAAATTCTTATACAGTAACTGATAGACTTCAAAGTAAAATACCCTAATCCCAGGCATTCTAGGGAGCTATTTAAAGGATTCTAATGTGAATTAGTGAGCAAAGTGACCCTTCTTCCTAATGATATTGTGTAAGTCTGAAGTTTTCACTGCCTAGAAATGCTGGCAGGTAAATCCCTGAATAAAAATATTCAGTTGTTATGCACAACATTTTCACAAAAACTCCACCTAGCTTGCATCATAGTTCATTTGTACCCTGTAAAGTGATTTTCTGTTCTATTACAAAATATTTACCACTACAAATTCTCTCCTTTTGTATTCTCAGTCCCGATACCCACAATAACACCCATACTTACAAATACAATTTCTGTATCAAAGAACATGTAACATTTTAATCAGAGAATAATAAAGTTAGATAAATTATTATTAATGTATTGAGTTATCTAATATGTCCTTAATAAATCTTAATGAATACTTTTTCAAGTTTTAAGTAAGAATTCTTTTCAGATTTTTTTTTCCTTTTGTTGTTCTGTTGTAGATCAAGCCTAGGGTCTTGTGTGTACTAGGTAAGTGCTATACCACTGAGCTACATTTCCCAGCCCTTACATGAAAAAAACAGGATTCTGTTTTTTTGTTGGTTTGTTTTGGTTTTTTGAGACAGGATCTCACTGTGTAGTCTAGGCTGGCCTCAAACTCATGATGTACTTGCCTCAGCTAAGTATTGGGATTAGGATCAAGGACCTCCATGCCCAGCTGAAAAGCAATTATTTTTGGGAAAGAGGTTTCAATGTGTTTAAATCACAACCTAGCATATATGGCACCTAAATTCCCATCTATAAAGTAAAGATAAAGCTTGCATTTTCAAGTTTATTACCACTTGAGGCTCTTCTCTTTGTCCTCCTACTACAAACATTTGAAAATAGCGAACAGTAAAAAAGGAAAATGTAAGAATAGGACTGGGGATGCAACTCTAGTGGTAGCATGCGTGCTTAAGAAGGCCTTGAGTTCAATCCCTGGTACTGCAAAAAACAAACAAACAAACAAACAAACAAAAAACCTGTGTGCACTGTGTGCACCTGTAAAGCACTTTAGATACTATCCCTTCTTCACTTAATCCTCATAAGGAACCTATCACTCTGTTGCTTCCTGTGAGGATTTAGAGGGACTAGTAACTACTGTAAAATCACATAACGGTATATGTGTGGTAGGTCTGCAGTTTGAATCTTGGTTTATCTGACTTTAAATTCTATCACTTAAAGACATTATAGTGCATCTTACCCTAACTCTCCCCTTCAAAGCTCTTCACAATTATATCTGTGAGCTAAACTAATCACAACAGCCTTATAAGATCATTCTAAAAGTTCTCATAATGAGTGAAGAAATTAGAATGCAAACAGGCAAAGCAGTAAGTTCACAGTCATAAAGCAAGTTTGTAGCACAGCTGGGACTAGAGCCAGGTCTCCTGGTCTCCATTCTAGAAAAGCATCCTGCTTCATGATCATGGACCAACACCTGCTCTGATAGTGAGAACTGGGATCATCCTGAAACAACCATTTAGTACTTCTGCCAAAGAGGCCACACATTGAGCAACACCATTTGCTGGTATTTTTCTCTGCTGGTTCCGTATTTCCCAAACAAAATATGCCAGTCTGTATTGTTTTTCCTACTCTAAATAGTTGCAACTTTGATTACAACAATGGTCAAGCAAGTTGAATCAATCCTTTTCTGGAGAAGGAAAACAGCTTCTTTGTTGAATTTTTGAGGTTTCGAGTAGTCTGTCCCTAAATAGTTCTGCAGAGGCACAGCTGTTAGACATGAATTCTGGCCACTCCTGTTGGGTGCAGATGTAATGAAGACCAAACACACTATTGTCTTCTACCATTTCCATTAAGTCAGTCTGATTACAGCTTTCAGAGACCCGAACACTTGTAAGCACACAAAATATCATACACAATGCCTAAAGGAGTGAATATTGTCTTTCAATTGCTCCTAACTCTAGTTCAAGGTACAAACACTTAGTTATTTTTGAAAGTTATTTTCTTTTCATAAAAAGAGAATTCTGTACCAGCTTGTCAGCACTGCCAATAAATGGATTGACTAAATTTTAATGGCACAGAATTGGGACATTTTTCCCTCAAGTGCTACATTTCAAATTCCTTATAGCCTATGACATCATGGGCTCCAATAATAACTTTCAGAACAAAATATAATTAATTCTATTATTACTGCTTACATAGTGCTTTACAATTTAAAATACATTTTTCACATATTGTCACATTTGAAACCTTGATTCTAGGAGATGGTCATTAGTATATTTATTTTATAAATGAGCAAATAGGGGCTGAAAGAGGTTAGATTACTTTACCAGTCTCAGCTTGTAGTCAGAGACATAAAGACTTTTACAAAATCTTCCTGAAACCTACATTTTCAGAAATCAGAAAGTATGATAGCTTAAATTTTGCTATTTTGTGATGAAAGTTTTCTAAATGAGCTTTGTTCAGATTCTTAATTGA